AAAGTACAGTTCATGGGTAAGAAACTACGCCCATGTTCCTCCTGGTTAACTAAGGTTTCCTGAAGGTAACATGGGTGCTTTCTGGCAACTGTGAACACATCCTTGAGAGAGGCTGGTCCTTTCAATGCTTAAGGAGGAGGTGGTCCCTTCTCAAGAAACCATTGCTAGACCCCAGTATGTTAGATGACTTTTGCTTGATTCCAAACTGTCCTGCAGCTTCAGAGGTTCCTAGATGAAACAGATTTTCTACATCCCTTTCAGTCAGATTTCATGCCTGGATATGAGACACAATCCAGAAATGGATATGTAACACAATTGAGACCTAAAATTTCTGTTACTAAACAAGGCAGTTGTTAAGTGAATTTTGCCCCATTTTATGATCTTTCTTGCCGCAGTTGTTAAGTGAATCACTGCAGTTGTTAAATTAGTAACACAGTGGTTAAGTGAATCTGGATTCCCCATTGACTTTGCTTGGCAAAGGTCACAAAAGGTGATTCCATGATCCTGGGACACTGCAACCGACATGAGTTAGTTGCCAAGTGTCTGAATTTTGATCAAGTAACTATTCTGCAGAGGTTGTTAAGTGTGAGGAATGGTTGGGGTTTTTTCAGTGCTCCTGTAACTTTGAACAGTCATTAAATGAACCATTGTAAGTCGAGGACTACTTGTAGCATGTTCCACATGGAGATGCTATTGAAGAATATCTGAAGGTACAGTTGATGCAGAATGCAACAGTGCAAATAATTATGGGTGTCCTTTGGTACACATAGGTTATGCCTTTGCTTTGGAAGCTGCACCAGCTCCCAGGCAGTTTCTGAATGCAATTCATTGTGCTGCTTGTCAATTACAAAGCTGTTCATGACATAGGCCAGGATATTTGAGGGATTGTCTTTCTCCAGTTGTCTCTGTCTGCCCCATCTGCCAGAAGGGGCGTAGTCTGGGACATAAGGAGAATCATCTGATAAGTTCAGGAAGCATGCCTTTCTGTGGTTGCATTGCCCTCGGGAACATAATTCCTAATCAGGATTAGGTTGGCCCTAAACCTGGTGGTTTTTCAGAAGGCTGTCTTTTCTCCCAAGCATGAGGGTCAAGTGGTTAGGTGAGTCTGTGTGTTGTTATCATTAGAGTTGATGGTTTTGGCTGCTATCCAGATCCAAGACTATTTGAAGATAAAACTAGACTTTTACTATCCTGTTTTTAATCAAAGTTTTAATGTGCTTTACTAACTTTAAGAATGTCGAATAGACAAAATTGTTTACTGTTATTTCAGGATTTATCGTATTCCTCTTGAGGTGGCAAATTCTAACTGTAAATATGTTTATCTGCACAAAATATTTTAAACATTTTGAAAACATAAATACAGTGAATATATGGAAAGTAACTTGTACTTAGTCACGTGAATGAAGGCAAATATACATGTCCCAGGATAATGTTGCAGGATCCAATCTGAGCCGGTCAGCAGGACCAGAGATTTGTTCTTCCAAGCTTTTGAACTCATGCTGGAACTCCTTCCTCAGGGAACTTCTCAATCTCCAAGATATGTGCACTGGGCAGTTCTATGCATAGTATTTATGTGGTGCCTGGTTTTGTGTATCTTTCAGTTGTTGATTTGGTATTGATAGTTAGCTATTAAGTAGTTGATCGTTGTTTCTTCGTGCTGCTGTGCCCTCAGCTCCTAAGTATCTGGTAAACTGGTGCAAATCAGCATTCCTGTTAACAGACAAGGGGCCCATTTCCCAGGCTTCAATCATTTCTCTGGCTATTTTTGTCCCTGCTCAGCCAGCAATCTTAATAGCTGCGAGCTGTACTTTGTAGCTGTACTTAGTCAACTTAGCCATTCGCTGAATTGTAATTGCAGAAATAGCAACATAAATTTTTGGTTCTCCAGTGAAGCAATTAGCAGTCCAGTAACTAATGTTGCATGCTTGATGATTGCTTATTTATTTACTCATTCAGCCAACTATCTCACACAAGAAACTTGGGCAATGAACAGAAATAAAACAACATAATCATCAAAAAAAATAATACACAAATGAAGGTGAAAGTTTTATACAGTCTGAAAAGAAACCAGTGTATAATCTGAAAAAATGGTTTGCCAAAGTTGTATGACTTGGACTAAGAGCTAAACATCACATGGGAGGATTTTAAACACTCTATCTTCTATATTTTTTTTTTTTTAATTTGATTTATATGCCGCCCTTCTCCGGAGACTCAGGGCGGCTTACAATGCGTTAAGCAATAGCCTTCATACTTTTGTATATTTATACAAAGTCAGCTTATTGCCCCCACAAACTGGGTCCTCATTTAACCTACCTTAGAAAGGATGGAAGGCTGAGTCAACCTTGAGCCTTGGAGAGATTCGAACCAACAGTAAATTGCAGGCAGCTGTGTTAATAACAGGGTGCTTTAAACCACTGTAGTACCAAGGCTCTTATATTTGTTTATACCATAGTACGGTATTGATAACCTCTAAATCAAATGAGAATGGTCTAGTACTGTAAGATAGGTAGCTCTCGACTTACAACAGTTCATTTAGTGACCGAAGTTACAACGGCACTGAAAAAAGTGAGTTATGATCATTTTTCACACATATGACTGTTGCACCATCCCCATGGTCATGTGATTTATATTTAAATGCTTGACAAGTATTTATGATGGTTGCATGTCCCAGGGTCATGTGATCATCCTTTGTGATTTTCTGTGACAAGCAAAGTCAATGGGGGGAAGCCAGATTCACTTAACAACCGTATTACTAATTTAACAACCAAAGTAATTCACTTAACTGTGGCAAGAAAAGTTGTAAAATGGGGCAAAACTCATTTAACAAACTTCTTATTTAGCAACATAAACTTTGGGCTCAATTGTGGTCATAAATCAAATACTATCTGTATTGAACAGTAGTTGAGTTTTAAGAATACAAGGAGGAGTAAATGTGTTACTAGAATAGAACTTATGAGTTATGAGGAATGTGCTGAAAATTTAAGATAACGTTTTGAGAGGGCAGGGTTTTTTCATGCACACAGCAATGGCTTTGCCACAATTTAATTGCTTCTTCACACTTATTTAGAAGCAGGTGGCTAATTCTAACTGAATAAATGACACGGATTTATTCAAAAGAATTCAAGTGGCATCTCTGTCCTGTACCATGCAGTGGAGAACGTCTGTTTGATTTATCGGAAGTGAAAACAAAGCCACAACCACTTCCTTTTTTTTGTAGGGTTAAGTTTGGGGTGGGATGGTATATACTATAGAACATTTGCGTGTAAAATGTTTATTAAAATAAATATATATTTAGTTCTGATGAATAGGATAAAAAAGTGAATGAAAGAACATGAACAATGTTCTCAATTTTATTTTCTTCTTTATATATAGCAAGAATTAATAAAATTCAAATTAATTAAAATGTGTAAAATGGTAGAATACCACTCTCCTTCATATACTATTCTGTTAAATTAAAATATACTTTATTAAAATAACAGCATTTAATCAGTAGTTTCACGACATTAAAAAAAGTTAACTTGTCACATCAAATAATTTCCCACATCTTTTCAGGCATTAATATTTCTGTGATCATACATGATATACCCACCTCCTTTTTTTTGTGCAGCAGTGACCTTCTGATTCTAGTCTGTATCCTATAGTTCTCTCTGTTGGAAATTTTAATCAACAGCTAAATCATGAAACAATAGTAAATAGAGGAATTTCTGATTTTTAAAATTCAAATGACATGGCTGTTTGTCCTGTTTCAATAACCACATTCATTTATTTTTATTTATTTACAATACCCAGACTAGGTCATAGAATTTAAGAAATACAGAGCACCATTAATGCATGTCTAAGTAATTATACATAATCCATAAATATATAAAAAGTGGAAACCCTATAAAATTAACATTGCATAGAAAGGACCAAAAGGTTTCTATAAGTTAAGGCTATAAATGAAAGATTTGGTAGTCCTTTCAAAATACCTGGGTGTTGGTCACTTAATAAGAATATCTCAAACACAAGTGGAGTTTCAAACTAAAGAGGCACCAAGGCATAGGCAGTGAGCACTTCAAAAGGGTGTATGAAACAGATTCAACCTCTGAATTCAAGGAGATGCATACCTGAACTTTTGGAAGGTTGGCATGTCAATCAGCTGTCTTCCTAGTAGGGAGAGCATCTATATGGCTAGAGAGAAGAGCCTTCTATGTGGGCCATATAGACTCTTATAGAAATTATCAGAGTGCTCAGGGTAAGATTTGCCAATAATTAATTTGTGTAAGCAATTGAAAAGTTTGGCTGTGTCCAACCTGAATGTCTGTGTCTCATATAATCTACAGGGTTTTTTTACGCCTAAAGCAAATAAGGCTGGTATTGACAATTCACAATGTACAGATTAAGTAAGGGGGGGGGGGTAGAATACATCCTTATGTATTGGAATAGAATCACCAAAGTTCCTCAAAAATAAAAAGCTCTCCCCCCCCCCCCCCCCCCCTCCTATGTTAATTATGTTGGAAAATTAATGGCAGACTCATTGAGCAAGTGGATAAATACCTGGATATTCATTTCCAATCTTCAACATGCTGTGGTCATCAACTCTTAAAGCACAAAAAGGATTTCTAGCAATCAACAAATTTGCTAGTTGGCAGGGGAATAATATTGACTCTGCAGCAACTGAACTATTCAAAGGCAAAGTTCTTGGCAAACTGCAAAATGGATCTCAGATGAGTATTTACAAAAACTTCTCAGTTCTGGAACAAACAAAATTCTTATAATCAATAATACATATCTCATACTCTACTTCTAATACCATATTAGGACTAGATTGCACATTTATCATAACATGATTCCTTAATGTGGGGGACAGAGAATACTAGCAATGTGGAAGTTTTGCATTGGAATTAGAAGTAATACATTTTTGACATCCAGTAGATTTTGCTGAGGGAATTAATCCTAGTCTCTGAATTTCCCTGTCAATATGTCAATTTTTCAATCTGTTTATTTCTCTTTGCTCTTAGATTTCTGGAATGTGCTACAGTAGTAGTCTTTTAAAAGTGTACTGCATACTTTGTATTCCCTCTGGCATAGCAAAGATATTTGCTCGGACTCTTGAACCAATTTTCTCATCGGCGGAGCCCTCTAATGAATTTGGAGTTGGAATGGGAGCAACTATTGATATACAGAGGCAACAGCGGATGGAGCTACTTGATCGACAGATCTTGGTCTCTCAGGTTGCTCAGATGAGGCGACAAAGACAAGTAAAGTCCTTTTTTTGTGGGATGTAGCTTATTTGTGAAATGGATTTATGCATATATAAAGTTAATCCTTCATAAAATTAACAGTCCTTTTACATATTATGGATATGTTCTATTTATTCACAAAACATTCTTTTTTTATTCCTAATAAATTAATTAGATAAATTCTTAATGGATTCATTTGTACAACATGTCAAATTTACTTTTCATTAATGTTGGTTAGACTTTATGTGTCTGTGTGTGCTTCTTGCTTTAGGATGTTGTTCAAATTCACACCATTTGATCAATTTATAGTTGATTTTATTATGTGAACTCATATAATGGTTTTTCAATAACCAGGTTAACCTTATTGGATGATGTTTTATTGTTTACAATGTTTATAATTTTGTTTACGTTGGCTTAATTATACATGCAAATGTCTAACAGTGTGTCAGGATTTTCCCTTTCCTCTTTTCTAAAGTTTCCCAGAATTTTAATTTGTAACTTGTCCCAAGGGGACAAACATGGCTGTACTTATCTTAACAAGGACAGTTCCATTGGTGGAAATGTCATTTACACAATTCTACATTTGAACAATGAAATTTTAATTGTCCTTTGTGCATATTTTATATGCCTATGTACACAAGCAACATATAGAGTAGGGCTGATCCAAAAATTGAGTCCCACCATTACTTTTTGGGGTGAGGGGGGGCATAGGGTACAGATAGGACATTAAGATGAGTTGAATCAGAGGACATTAAAAGGGATTTGAACTCAGAGGACAAAAGTTTGCAGGTGCTTGGTGGAAAATTACAGTTTGGTCTCTGACTTCTTGCCTGTGGCTACCTGTGGCTAATTCTAAATGCCATTGCTCCCACCCTTAAAAAAATATCTTTGCGTGAATTTACCCTTAATCATGTTAATTCCATGTGCCATGGGGAGATTGAATGGGGATAAGAGTGACTTCAATGTGATCATTAGCTGAAACAAAAGGAAGCTTTTAAAAAAACTGATAAATATAGAATTGTTCATGGGACTCATATCTTCCTGATTCAGAGGAACTTAATTGCAATGGTCTGGTCTACATTAACCTCAAAAAACTTTGGAGTGGCCGTGGCTTTTGCAATCCAGCTTTAAAATGATGAAATAGTTTCATACTTCCCCTTACAAATTCATTTTCCAGATTCCCTTCTTCTTTCATTCATTCCAGTTGCCCAAGATGCTCCTCACCACTGAACGTCTTGACTGACGTAGAAATATAGGAGGCGTATTTAAGTTAAAAGCATATTTATGAAACACTGGGAAGATTCTGCTTCTTTTTGGATCCAGTTCAGAAGGGTCTTAAATTCTTACATTGCCAATCCTTTGCAGTTATCTCCTCCTTATCATCAATCCTATTTTTTCCCTTAAGTATGTCGTGTGCTGATGTCTCAAACTCCTTTCTGGAAGGTTGTTCTATGATGGTTGTGTGCTAGGATCATTTTCTGTTTTATTGTCATATTGTTTTAGCACTTCCTTCTCAGCTCTGTAAGTTTCTTTATAGAGACCAGTTTACACTAATCATTTCGAAATGGTTGCGGTCATCTGTGGAGAGTGTATGAAAAGTATTTGAATTTGCAAAGGACTTTTATCACTTTGGGGTTTTGTCATTTCTTAGAGACAATAGGCAATCTCATTTTGATAGTGTCTCTTTAGCATATGGAAGACATAGAAGAGACGGGGGATTAATACAGTGTTGTTACAGAGAGAAAAAAAATGCTTTCCCATCCAATAGTTGGAAACTTAGAGATGGTCCTTAATGACTTGCAATTCAGAAAATGGCTTTACCAGGATGGGAGATTAAAGGCATATAGTGTGGTTAACATAATTGAAGCAGAATCCAGCATTGGGGACTCTGCAACAAAAGAAAACAGGATGTTGCTTCTTTTCCTGTCTACGTTTCTTGTATACCGCTCTTGAAACAAACACAGTAGAAGTTTAGGGGCCAAGAGGGTTGTGGTACATATTTCCTTTTATTCTCCAGCTTCCTCAAACTACCAGAAGGATCAAAGCAAAGTTCAATGTAATAGATCCTTATTATTTGAGACTACTTGGTTTTTAAACCATGTAAAATTTCACTGGAAGCTTCCATTGTGACAGAATGTTCAATAATAAGTAGAATGTTCAATAATAAGTATTAATCCTTCCCCTCATCAAAACTCTTTCGTCTATTAATGGGTTAAGGCTGTGTGATGAAATGGATAGCTGAAGAAGTGTGCGGGGTAGGGTGGAGTAGTAGCATCCAATATCTCAGAAAGGAGGCAGCACATTCCAGAGAGGGGCCCAAGACAAGAGACTGTGCAGTCCTGAACGGGATGGGGGAGGCAAGAAAAGGTTCAAGGTAGTCACACGCTAGAATCAACCAGGGTATATCTATTAGGTTAGGTTATAACTTTAGTCTGGTAAATTCTATTAGGTGTAAGAAATAAAGAATTGCACTCAGTTGGAGCTTACTGTGTCGTCTCTGACAGACTGCAAGATATCCTTCTGAGGAACTATTTAAAAGCATGTTATTTGTTCAACGAATTGTTTTATACAAGATTGTCTTTCAGGATATATAGGTAAAGCTCCAATCATAGGAAATCTCTCATATTTTAAATGCTTGCAGCTGCTCCCTGTTCTTAAGGAACCAAATAGCAGCATTCAGTGGCATTCTGAGCAGTAAAGGGCCTGGACCTCTTTCCATATATCCGTAATTTAAGCATTCCTTGAGAGAAGTCACTCTTTTAAATCCATGGATGATTCGTTGTGTAGACTGTCGTTTCTACATGGAATCTAAATTGGATTTTGGCAGCTCTAACCTGTTTCCTTTGAGCACGAGGCCCGATACATATGCTGACATGTTGTCTTATAGACATGAACTGGAGGTTGGCCAGTTTTACACTTTTCTTTGATTTTATGTTTTATGCCAAGTCCACTATTTGATCCTGAAATTATTTCCTTTTCTCACTTTTGTTGGTGATGTTACCCAGAATTCACAAGAACAACTGATTACTTCCAGGGAGGATATTCACACACTCCTCTTTTTCAAAGCAGATCTTTCTAACAGAGGCATGGTTGAAGATCACCTGTGCAGTGAGATTGTCCCGAGCCCTTCCCTTTTTGATAGAAAACTTTAAACAAGAAACACAGGAACCAAGTGTGAGAAGAGAAATGGGGATTATTCCATCTTCCAGCAGACTCCAAATTAACTCCCTCCAACCAGGGGCGGGTTCCAAATCTCGTCACTACCAGTTCACTTGTGTGTGCACGCATGTGCGCGTGCATGGCGCTTTTGTGCCGCTACCGGTTCGTCCGATCCAGTGTGAACCAGTAACAACCCACCACTGCCTCTAACCTTCAGAGATAATGGAGGAGAAATCCAAGAGGAGGAATTTATTTTTAAAAAGCTTCTTTAAAAAGATAAATTAAAGCAATAACTAGAAATATTGGGTAAGGTATAACTTTGACTGTATGTTTAAGTTTAATATGTTATCTCTGTACTAATTGTTTATCATTAGAAATCTTTTTACAAAGCCATTGCCTTATATTTTGCTATGATTTGAGCAAGATGAAGTGTCCACCATGAAAATAGGTGGTTAAGTTTCTACATCAAGGGAGTTGTCTAGACCCACAGGCCTGACCCACAATTGTTCAATAGCTTTTTCACTTCCTTTATTTTGGCCAGTTATTTCATATCCTCCATTGACTAGATAAGTTCAGAATACTGAGTTTTGCTTGGAGAGAAGAGTAAAAAATTAAATATCTGTGGCCTCCTTGATGACTTCTTACAGGGCTGTGTACTGGTATTAAGAAATATTATTTTGAGATTGATTGAGGGTTGTCAGAGCTTATTATCATAGTAGGCCAGCAACATGGGAGCTTTTAAAGTTTTATTACTAGGATGACCTATACAAGTAATGATACTTTCCCAACCTTTACAAGCAAGACAAATATACCCTTTACAAATGGTAACAAAATAGGCAACAATAATTTAAAGAATTCTAGGAAGCTCACCCCCTGGTACTTTTGCTCTGTTACATCCTGAAAAGACGGATGGCCTGTGCAAAGCTAGAAGGAAGCGGAAACTAACTTACCATGAATTCCTGTTATCTGACCTTTAGATAGAAGGCAGGTAGTTAGGTCTCCCAAAAATAGGAGCTTATTTTTCCATAAATGTTATCCTGTTGTTTTATAAAATGAAGGTTTAATTATTTAACTTGTGTCTTCTAAATTTCCTGTAGTTAGATCTAGTTTTATAAAACTACCCATTCAGGAAAAATATCACCCTTTAGGGGTTGAGGAGCTCTCTAGCTCTTCTTCACCTGGACTTTAAAAATGAGAAATTGGATCTCATTTCAGAAAGAAATGCTATTTATTTATTTATTTATTGGTTCGATTTATATGCCGCCCTTTTCCGGAGACTCAGGGCGGCTTACAATGCGTTAAGCAATAGCCTTCATACTTTTTGTATATACCTGCTTAGTAGGGCTTTCGCCCCCCCCCCAAAGCGGTGTTCTTTTTTATACAAAGTCAGCTTATTGCCCCCACAAACCGGGTCCTCATTTAACCTACCTTAGAAAGGATGGAAGGCTGAGTCAACCTTGAGCCTGGTGAGATTTGAACTTGCAGTAATTGCAGGCAGCTGATGTTACTTAACAGGGCTTTAGTCTGCTGCGCCACCAAGGCTATCTTGAAGTGACAAAAACCTTCAGTAATGGTTCTTCACAGGCTTGCTTAGCAAGCAGTCTCTTAGTTCTGTCAATATTATATGTCTGTTTATTATGATGATCATTTGCCCAAAGTAGGACAAAATTCCATTGCAGACTGATAAGCTGGTCATGGATTGAAATATAATTATCTAATCATCATGACAGAAGGACAGAATTCAAAGTGAAAATAAAGTAAAATAAGACAGTAAACAAGTGAATAGCATCCCTCCCCCCCAAAAAAACAAAAGATTTTAAATTTAAATGTAAAAACGAATCTAAAAATTAGGGAGACTTAAATGATTAACTACAAATTTGATTGAATCCTGTATATTATAAAAAATAATTTTTAAAAAGCAGAGTGAAAATTTAGTTTCTTAAAGTAGTTTAGAGTAATCAATAAAGGAGAATATTTGTAGCTCAGGGTTGAAACGATGCGTCCTTGGTGCTCTCTGAGCTTGCTTGTTTTCTTGCAGATGTTTCATTATTCTAACTAGGTAACATCTTCAGTGCTAGTAAAGAGTGCGGTTTGCTGTCAGTTTATATTCTGGTGTCTTGCCTGTGTAGGTGAGTTTAGAGTAAGAGAGCAAATATAAACATTGATCATCTTTTTAGAATATCTTAAATGATTGGGAGGATATTTAGTGAATACAGTATATTGTGGTAAAAATAATTAATGTTTTGGAGGCCATTTCACAGGCTATTTGATGAATTAAGAATAGGGTGGTATACAGCACTTTTTCCTTGTTAAACATACTTTAGCAGCATTAATATGGATATTAGATAAGGTAAGATAGATGTATTATTCCAATAAAGTAAAGAAGGCTAAGCAGTAATAGAAGTAAATCATTCTGCCAATTTATCATAGAAGATTTGAACTTCCTGTTTAGTAAAAAAGGTTTGTTTTTAGTGTTTTTGCTGCTTAGTAACAGTGATTACATAACATAAGCTATATCTTCTTCAACCAATTGACTGAGAAAGATATTTTGCAAGAAATATATCTAGTCTGAGATATAGAAATGGTTACAAGATCTGTTTCTCATGTTGTGGCACTTCAGTTATCGTATACTTTACTGACAGAATTTTCATCTGGCTGATATTCTCTGATGTCTAAACTATGAGTAATTTGAAATTTTCTGTATAGGTTTACTTTAGAGCAGGGGTGTCCAACCTTGGCAACGTTAAAAGACTTGTGGATTTCAACACCCAAAATCCCCCAAACTGTCTGGTTAGGGAATTCTGGGAGTTGAAGTCCACAAGTCTTAAAGTTGCCAAGATTGGACACTCCTGCTTTAGAACATATTTGAAAACTGCAATGGCTGCCTTTCCCTTGATGATAGTACATAATTCAGCAAGATGCTGAATCTGTTTCTGATTTTTTTTTTGATGTTACAAATGCTATTCAAGCAGTGACAATATTCTTTTCTTAACATCATCTTATATCTGTGATGGCGAACCTATGGCATGCGTGCCACAGGTGGCATGCAGCGCCCTCTCTGTGGGCACGCGAGCCGTCACCCCAATTCAGCTCTGCCGCGCATGTGCGCATGCCTCTCACCAGCCAGCTGCTTGTTGGGTCTCTGCTGCACATGCACGGGGGGCGGTGCACATGCGGGAACCCCACATGCACATGTGCAAAGGGCTGGGGTGCATGCGGCCCACACACACATGTGTAGGGGCAGGGCACATGCAGGGGCCCATACATGCAGGGGCGGGGGCATGCGGGGGGCACGCACATGAGCCGGGGTGGGCCATGTGCATGGGGCCTGCGCACACATTGCATTTGGGGGGTTTGGGCGCGCTTTGGGCACTCAGTCCGGAAAAGGTTAGCCATGACTGTCTTATATTTATTCTAAAAACGAATGTGCTCTGTGCTTGTTTAGTTTGTTCCAAGGACAGTATTTACATTTAAACCCTGGGTGTCCAACCTTTTAGCTTGTCTGGGCTGCATTGAGTGAAGAAGAATTATCATGGACCACATATAAAATACATAATAAAGTCAATGTATATAAATAACAAACTTCCTTTATTTTTTATGATCTTGTGGTCTGCATTGCTAGCTGTCCAGGGCTGCATAAAGCCCATGGGATGTGGGTGGAACACATCTGATTTAAACCTGTTGAAATATCACTAACATGTTTTCTAGCCATGACAGCCTAAATAAACCTTTCTCAATTTGGACTCATACTGATGTTTTGGTTACTTGTGATTTGAATATTCGGCAAGCATGACCATTCTCAGAGAGATTTGTAATGGTAAACATATCTAAAGAGTCAGATTGATGAAACTTGATCTGAACTAGCAAGAGGATTATATAGTTAATAAATTCAGAAGCTTCTTAAAATTATTTTGAGTTATAGTGATGGTGAAATTTACAAAAACATGTGCAGTAGCACAACATCACACATACAGGTTCAGATGTATATAGTGTAACTGCAGTCTTAGAATTCTCTCAGTGCTAAGGAGAGAAATATCCTTCCTTATTTGTCACATATCTGAAGATACAATAAGAATGTATTTTGGTGCCATGCTATTTAACATCTCTCTAAAGGTGTTGGAATTTTGAAATGAGGCAGCATATTTACATTCCAATTCATTACAGATGGTAAGAAAGACAGTGAAAAACAAAAACAACATAGAATTTAAGAACAGGATTCCCTGTGCTGTTGTAGAATCTGTAAGGATTGTAGAATCTGAACGATATTTTCGATCATTTCTCATCATTGGCAATGAATTATTGGGCTCAGTCATTCAGCAACATCTGAAAACAGACACATTTTTACATTTTAAGATAGATCATTTTCCAGTTATCATAAGGGAATACAATTTAAGAACTCAAAATTTTTTCATTGGTGACTTAGCACGGAAGTAAAACAACACATCCTATGATTTTTGTCTACAGCTATGAAAGCAAGTTCTTGTGCACTAACAAGGCTGATACCAGTTCAGTTCAATACCAAAACAAGAGACAGGTAGAAGCCCTCTCTTCACCTGAAAGAGAGTAGCTTCCACTTCATTGCATCACTTTCACAGAAGAAAAAGGGACAAGAATTTGAACCTTGATTTCAATATAAATAAAGCTCACATTTAATACACAGCAGGTGCTGGAATTCCTTCATAATTATTTTTATAATGTTAGAAGAAATCTAGAAGTAATTCGAGTTTTGTGTCTTTAGTTTAATCTTGCAATTTCTTGCCTAGCCATCAAGAAACTTAACAATGATTATTTCTTTATCATACCAATTGCAGTGTTGGTTTTATCTCTTGACAATGTTTTATCACGCAAAATGTGCCTTAGATAATTTCAAAGCTCTTACACAATCTCAAGTAAAATCAAACCAACTGTTTTAAAGTGGGTGACCTCTATAATTGCCGCTGCTTTAAAATTGAAAAAAAGAAATGCTAATCTTTATTTTGCTCTTTTATTAGTATTCAGTTATCTGCATTTATAACATTTTGGTGAACTATTCCTTTAATTGATTTTAGAAATGCTTATTTTTTTAATTTGAACCTTTGAACCTTATATAATAATTGTAGAAAATGCTGGTCTGGGACTATAACGATAAAAATTACAGCCTAGTGTATGTTCCTTAGAAATCATTAAAGGCTGCATAGCTGCTCATTATGTGTTCACATTATGCTTTTTAGTAATTTAGCAAAGATATAGAGTAGTTTACCAGATTACTTAAAACTTATCACCCAAAGGGAACATAGAAACAAAATTACAACTAAATGAGATTCTCTTAAGGAGTAAATGCTGAAAAACAGGAACTTATTTTTATCTAGCATCTTCAAAATAATGTATCCCCTAATTGATTTTAATGGAAGTTGGGTGGCAATACAATATTGAACTGCTAAGCTGACAAACTTGTGGTTTTGTGTTAAATAAACATCCCCTATTCAGTGTGTTAATCATGAAAGTATAGGAACCAGGATCATGAGTTGTAGCAACAGTGTGTTGACTTGCAAGGTAGACTCCAGATTGAACACAATAGGGGGACAAAGATTTTAGTTGTACTTATTGGATATTGGCTAAAATGTAGCAAAAATTTGGCATTATCTTTATTGCATGTGACACAGAAATCTAGTAAACTAGTCTATATCTTTGATAAATTACTAAAAAGCATTATGTGAAAGCATAATGAGCAACAGAAGTCATCAGTAATGACCACAACATATGGAAAAATGAGAGTTAGAATGCATGAAGTATAAATGATAAAGTGGATCAGGGGTGAAATGCTCCCGGTTCGGACCAGCTCGGGTGAATAGGTAGCGATGGCGGCGGGCAGTTCGGAGAACCGGTAGCAAAAATCCCTGCCCCCGCCTCCCATGCCCAGCTGAGCCGCGCGATCATCAGAGCTTTTTTTTCTTTTAAATGGCTCTGACGAGCCAAGCTCTGACGATCCCAGCTGAGTTGCCTGCCGATCAGGCAACCCAGCTGGGATCGTCAGAGCCTTTTGAAAGCATTTTTTTACATGGTTTTACATGTAAAAAATGGTTTTAAAAGTAAAAAAAAAAAAATTGGCCACGCCCACCCAAACACATTACCCCCACACCCCCACACCAAGCCACGCCCACAGAACAGGTAGTAACAAATTTTAGATTTCACCCCTGAAGTGGATGATTTCATGAATGAAATAAAAAATAAATATGTTAAAGGCTTATGAATTAAGAGAGAGTAGAATGATATAAGAGTGATGAGATTCTAAATAAAGAGATCCTATTTCTTGAACCTGAAGAAATGAAACCAAATGAGAAAAATTGCATGCGCATGGAGCAAAAAATTAGTATAAGAAATTAGTTTAAGAGAGTTTGTACAAAAAAAGAATTGCATAAGAATTAAAGAAAGCACAGAACTGTTGAAATTGAAACAATTAAAGTGCAGATTGTAAACTATTAATAGTAAACTATTCTGAAAATGGGTAAACAAGGAGGAAATGGGTAAACAAAAGGCTAAACAAGGAGCCTCTGACAGACTGAATTGAAATAAACATAGTGATGAAATGATTTGAGAGAAACCCAAAAGAAGGGAATGCTGAAAAGTGTATTGAATGATAGTGCTATGCCAAAAAGTGGAATTGAAATAAATGATACATGTTTTGGAGCCCAAGAAAAAATGATGACAAAGAAGTTTTAAATGCAGTTAGATCATTGACAGCCAATGAGGCTGCAGCTATAGATGATATTACTGGAGGAATATATGGTTTGTATCTAACGTGTGAAAGGAATGTGTTGGACCCAATGATTATTTTTCCACTATAGAAAAGGGGATAATATTATTAAATATGGTTTGGAAGGTATTTGACATTATTCTGATTGAAAGATTACAAGATCTGAAAGTGAGCAAATTTGGGAAGTGCGGTGTGACTTTATGCCAGGTACATCAGATTTTTGTTGTTCGAAAATCAAAAACTATACTGTATTTACTCTTACTTACATACAAAGCTTATATACCATTTTAATCACAAACTATTCTGAATGGGTGGAAGGTTGGCTGAATAGTTTTTAATTCAGAGAGAGCATATGATTCTGTGAGTAGGGTTTAATTATGAACTGTTTTGAGGAAACATTAAAATTGCCTGCTGAATGAGAAGAATGGTGTAGATGGAAGTAAAACATTCATGAGAACGAATGAAAAGTTTAGCTAATGCTGTAGTGTTAAACAGAAAGTAAACATTCCTTAAACATTTATTCATAATGCTTATCTTAAAATAAAACCGAAATGAAGAAATGGAGTGGATAGAGAATGTGAAAGTACATGTATTTTTTGTACTTGCCTTGTTGGCTAATTTACAGTGAATATTACACTGTACAATGCAGCGAGTAGTGTGGATCTGAAAATTAATGTATAAAAGACCAAGCTACTTGTATTTGATAGGGAAAATGGAGTGGATATTGGAGATGACAGTTAGGTATGTAAGAAGACGTACAGAAATAAATTGTATTAAGTTGCAATGGGTTACTTAAATGTGGGTAATAAAAAAGAGAAGTGGTGGAAGCAAGGACATCATTAAAATTAGAAAGGTATGGAGAGAAAAGTGAAATGCATATTGCCCAAGACTTTCCATTAGCAGAACATTATACAATCAAAGATATTTTTCTATCTCGCTGAAATGGAGCACATGAAGTATACAGGTTATCCTCGACTTACAACAGCACACAAAAAAGGGAGTTCTGATCATTTTTCACATAACCACTGCAGCATCCCATCATCATGATAAAAATTCAGATGCTTGGCAACTGACTCAAATTTATGACAGTTGCAGTGTCCTGAGGTCATATGTCAGAAACTTTTCTGACAAGTCAATGGGGAAACCAGATTCACTTAACAACCATGTTACTAACTTAACAACTGCAGTGATTCATTTAACAACCGTGACAAGAAAGGTCATAAAAAGAGGGCAAAACTCACTTAACAAATGTCTCATTTAGCAACATAAATTTTGGGCTTAATTGTCATAAATCAGGGACTACCTACTCCCAAATGCTGAAAGTACTGCCATAGAAGCTTGAAAACCAAAGATGAAGCATACACGGATGCCAAGACTGCAACTTTCTGAAAAAAGGAGTTTAATGGTCAGATGTAAGGAACCTATGATTTATGCATTCTGTAGGCCAGTCCTTCACAGCTGAAGGAACCAAACCAAATCTACAGGGAAAGAAGGAATTAACCATGAACTTAGTGTAGGGATCTTCCACTGGCTCCTAGAAAGTGTTGATTTTATGGCTGAGATTTTGCAGAATTACTTCAGTCACTCATTTTTACACTGTTCCTATAATTTGCTGTTAGTTTTTAATTTGAAAGTTAATTCATACTTAATTGTATTTTTGTATTTAAGAATAATGTAAGAATATTTCATTGCAGGGTGGAATGGTTAATTGGAATCGTTTCTTTCCTCCTTTACGTCACCGACCTAATGCAAATTATTTGGATAATCACCCAACTGTGCAGGAGGGACGGCCTCCAGCTGAAGTTTCTGAAGAACAGGTAACATCTTTTTTTGAAAACCACAGTATCCTAGGCTCATGATTCTGCTAAGCTTAAGCAATGTTTTCCATGCTTACTGCTCCGTGTTATAATATATGAGTAACCACATTCTGCTTAATCACATGACATTTCTATATCACTAAATATAGGGAAGCAATCATGCACATTATACAACGGAAACTATTCCAATGTATGCCTAGCACCCACAATAAGAATACATCTGAACTGCCAGATAATATATCAACTTGTGCATTACGTTTTCAGGTGCTAGAATAGTATCTTCTTTAAATGTTCCATCTACTTTGTACATTCAGAAACAGGACTGTTCAGTTACAGCTTCTTTTTCAAAGTTTACCTGCTTTCAAGACCTTGTGTTGAAAGGAAAAATAATTGTGCATTTAATAGAAAAAGAATTGTGAAAGCATCATATAGAAATATTTACCCTACTTCAGGTAGTCCTTGATTTACAACAGTTCATTTAGTGACTGTTTGAAGTTACAACAGCACTAAAAAAGTTATATATGACCATTTTTTCACACTTATGACCATTGCAGCATCCCCAGGGTCACATGATTTACATTCAGATGCTTGACTCACATTTCTGACGGTTGCAGTGTCCCAGTGTCATATCCCTTTTGCAACCTTCTGACAAGCGAAGTCTATGGGGAAACCAGACTCACTTAACAACCATGTTACTAATTTAACAACTACAGTGATTCACTTAATAAATGTGGCAAGAAAAGTCGTAAAATGGGGCAAAACTCACTTAACAAATTTCTCACTTGGCAACATAAATTTTGGGCTCAGTTGTGGTCTTAACTGAGGACTACCTATATTCAGTTGTTAAAAAGAAAAGGATGGCAACTATTCTGAATGTCAATATCAAAATATGTGAGGTATTTAAGGGCTTTATTTAAGCTTGGTCACTTATTTTATTATGATTATATACAGTCTACCAAGCATATGGGTAAGTTTTTCTTTAAATGCATTATACTCTAGCAGACCCAGTGCAGAGAGGAAAGTGGGGGAAGGAAAGAGAAAAAAAATAAACAAGCTATATTTCTATTCTTTCATAAAATTATACAATGAAGTTTTTCATTTGAAACTGGGGAGAGGGTCAACTGTTCCTTGGCATTAGCTGGGACACTGGAGGGGGCCTTATTGTTTTGATTCTCAGGGTTTATTCAGCTGGAAGCCTCTGGTAGAGCTGAACACAAAGCCCTAGGACATGAACTTCCTAAAAACGAAGTAGCAGTCTGGCAGTTAGTCCTAGATGAACTGATTTGGGGGCTTCCCTGCCTCACTTGTCTCTGTGATTCATTATTGAAATTGGAGAAAATGAAACTTGAGGACAGTAAGAAATACCGAACAGTAAGAAATTTTAAAGAACTTTAAGACAAGACTCATATTGTCTTCCTGGAAATTTTGAATCATTTAGAAATACATTTTCTGTTTGAGAATTATCCATTCTTCATCACGAAATGACAAAATAGAAAGGAAAAAACCGTTTAACAATAACAAAATAATAAACCGTTTAATGGGAATTGGAACTATATCTGTTTTAAAAAAAAAGGTTTAGAAGATGTTAAAGGTCTAATAAAAACTCTTTAACAAAAATTGAAATAAACTCTTATTAAATATTACAAATTTTTTTTACAGAAGGTGATTATACATTTAAATAATCACAGATGTGCCTGTTCTGGAATTTTCCAGTTAAAGAATTTCCAAACAACCTTCAGAGAACACGGCACTGTCTCATTTTTAAAAACAAAACAAGTTGAGGAACTTCAGGAAACCACTTGCAAGTTTTTCATATTGGCATTCTGAGAAACAAAGCTTGTGATTTGTGTTTATGACTCTAGCTGCTCACAAACTTAATATTAAAATGGATTTTCCTTAAATCCCCACCGTAGATTTGCTTGGTAAGGGGAAGCTGAGCTAGGTCATGAATTCTGCAATAATTTCAATATGCATGTTGTGATAGGTACTTTGTTAAGATTTGGGGCAATATGACCAATAACACTGAACTGTCTGGGGAAAAAAATGAAAAGGAGATCCGTTTTACTTATTACATCTAATAAACTTGGGGGAAGGAATGGTAGGAAGAGCAGAACACAACCAGGATGGCTCCAACAATTGCTCTTTCCCTCCTTATTGATTTGGTTTGCTTTCTTCTTTTTCTTTCAAGAGGTCAAAATCAGAGGTGGGTTTCAGCAGGTTCTGACCAGTTCTGGAGAACCGGTAGCGGAAATTTTGAGTAGTTCAGAGAACCGGTAGTAAAAATTCTGATTGGCCCGGCCCCCATCTATTCTCTGCCTCCCAAGTCCCAGCTGATTGGGAGGAAATGGAGATTTTGCAGTATCCTTCCCCTGCCACGCCCACCAAGCCACACCCACAGAACCGGTAGTAAATTTTTTTGAAACCCACCACTGATCAGAATGGAGTAAGATAGAGTGATCTGAAAGGGAATGAGTACAGTAGCCCAGTCTCAATGACACCAAGGTTAAGGTGGACTTGGATCGGTATCTTCTCACTCCTAAGGAAATAACCGTAATGCTACTCCACACTGACTCTTTGGAGTTCTTTTGTTTCTACAATGCAGAATAGGCTGACGGAAGGGGGGGGGGTGCTGTTCATAGTGCCCCTGCCCAGCCAACCCAGCTGATACTGGGTTGAATAGCATGGATGGCTGCCCCATGCAATTAATTCTGATTTTATGGGTCTGTTTGTCTTTTTTTTTTTTTCTTTCATTTTTCATTTCCTCTCCTTCTGCATACGCTGGCAGTTATAGAGAATAATTCTGTAATCTTTGTTTTCTGATTCCTTTTATACATATCCAAAATAAAGTATCCAGGCTTCTTAAGCAAACTGAAAAAAAAAAAAAATGCAGTTGCCTAAAACTGAACACATGCCCTCTTTATGACTCTGGCATCATATGATAGTTGTCATGTGCTAAGCTTGGAAATTTTAAAGGGATTTCCCCAAGTTTCAGGATTTTTTAATAGCTGTGCTCTCAAAGCAAATTCAGTTATTGTATTGCTTCGTTGTTATACCCAGATAAATATTTATTAATATCTCCACATGGAAACCTGATTGTTGCTTCTTGCCATATCTTGGTGTATTCTTGAAAACTGTGGCTTGAATTTTCACATTACGGTGATAGGCAGTCTAAATTGCAGTGTTCCTTATTCCTGTACTGGTGACATTGAGAAGCCTCGGATTACTGTGTCTCCCCTTACAAACCAGCCTCTAGAAATAAGGTCATTATATGGGTTGCATGTGGGTCCCACCCCTAAGACATACATCTTTACTATTGCTCTAAGCAAGAAAGAATATTACTGCTCCTATGATAGGTAGATAACACAACTATTAAGTCTAGTTTCTTAATATGAGAAGCAGTGATGATACTGCCAGCAGAGCAGTTCATCCACCTAAAATGGAGGTGGAGTTTCATGAATCCCCGTGCTGCTTGATAAACTAAATTGTTGAATTAACTTTAATATATTTAATTACAAGGAAAAAAAAAATCAATCTCACCAGCTATGTTATAACTATACCTCACCTGTTTAGAATCAGTTCTTCAAAGCACGCTGCTGGGTTGGCTGCTTGGTATGAATTTTAATATTTCTCCCCCTCTCTCTTATTTCTCCATAGGTTGCACGGCTCATGGAAATGGGATTTTCTCGAGTAGATGCTTTGGAAGCTTTGAGAGCTTCTAATAATGACCTTAATGTAGCCACCAACTTTCTGCTGCAGCACTGATGAATTGAATACCTGCAGGGAAGAACTTAAGTTGACACGTGTCATGTGCTTTCCAGAGGGCTGTAAACAACTGCAGGGTAGACACTTGAATGTTTAAATCAAGAAAAAGAAGCTGCCTCTTCACATGCAATATATTACTGCAGAAAAGATGGCTGGCACTGGAAATATCTTTCCCTTGAATGGAGTATACTAGCCAGGTTGCACTGGAAAAGTGTTTGCAATCATAAACATATGTTATATAGCAATATTTCTTTTGCAAAATCGGGTTTATGTCTTGCCCCCCCCCACCCCCAAAATCATCATTACATGTTTGATCATTTCTGATAACAAAGAAAAAAGTTTTTTTCTTAAAACAACTGTTTAACACCCCCCCCCCAAAAAAAGTCTTTTGTTTACATATAGCCAACAAAGCAACATTTCATTTTCTTTTTTTTTTTTTAAATACTGCATTTCATTCATCTGCTTTATCAAAGCTTCAAGAAATGTGCAAACTTGGCCATGTAATTTCAATAAAGGGAGAAAGGACTGAAATGTTGTATTCAGAAGATTCTATTCATACTTCTTTTTTTGAGGGTTGGGGAGAGCACGTAAAACATGGCTTCTGGGATTTTTTTCAACCCCTTTACAAGCCGTGTTTATGTATGGCCTGTGGAGCACGAGGCAGGCTGCATCTGCTCTGCCTTAGCTTGTGTGACCAGGGAGAGGGGGAATAAAAGAATTTAGCAAGGAGCAGATAACAACTTTCTAGGCTCCCTCTCTTAAGAGGATGCATTGGGACAATCTACCTAGTCATCTTCAACCAATTTTTGAACTTGGTCTAACTTTGGTCAGCTCCCCTGCCTTGAACAAGAAATCTTCCCTTCCAGCACTATGATACCCTATGGCAAAATTGCTCATGTTCTATTCACTTTTGGAGAACTTTCTCACTGACAAGTCAATAGGCACGTAGGTAGACTCCTGAGCAACTTTATATACATGTAGTCCTCGACTTACAACAGTTCATTTAGTGACCGTCCAAAGTTACAACGGCACTGAAAAAAGTGACTTATGACCATTTTTCACACTTACAACCTTTGCAGCATCCCCATGATTACAATTCTGATGGTTGGCAACTGGTTCATATTTATGATCGTTGCTGTGTCCTAGGGTCATGTGATCTTTTTTTTTTTTTTTTTGCAACCTTCTGACAAGCAAAGTCAATGGGGAAGCCAGATTCATTTAACAACAACAAAGGGGGGAATTGTATATAAAACACATTTCAGAAGATCAACTGGATGGGAATGAGGGCATGGGTGGTTGTAACTTGATCCTCCTGCATTGCAAGGTTACAATTGGCGCACAGCTAGCAGGGAGCCCTCCCACCAGGACTTCCGCCTATTTAATCAGGAGCCATGAATTCAGAAGGACCCATAAATCGTGAATCTGTCTTTCATGGGTAATGGTTGCTCATCCAGAGGTAACACTGATGTCTACAGAAAACCACCTATCCAGGTCAGTCACTGAGGGTGTTGAGAGCATCTCCCCAACAGCCTGGGCAGGCAATGTAGTTGGGTAATGTTAGTGTAGTGATGATACTGCTGTACCCAAAGACTTTGGATGACTTCTCCCACTAGTTTCATACAAACCTTAAGAGAATAGGAGAGAGACCAACCCCCTATAGAATCTGACATTGCAGAAACCACTACAATTCCCCTCCTTCCCCCACCATAAACTAAAATCACCCAGTGAGGAAGGAGCAGTTTATATTGTAAAAAAGTATTAGAAACTCTTTTATTCCATTTATTTTCTTTTCAGGGTAGGTTTTTAATCAGTTTCCCTGAACAGAAATAACTATTTCTTGTAAATAAACTCAGATGTGCATGTCACAGTTAAAACCAGAATATTAAAAAAAAGTCTTTCTATAGAATGAGAACTGTAAAAACAACTAACCCAAAGAACCCCTTCATACCGTCTTTCAGATAATAGTTTTTCTTTTGTGTTTTTTCAGATGCTTTGTTTGATAGAACCTTTCCATTGTTCAGATTTTGTCTTGATAACCTTTCAGATTCTACTATATAGAATCAGCTTACTACGTAGTCTCTCCTAAAGATAAGACATGTAATTTCAGAATCATACTTTAAGCATGCTTTCTCACGGTAAAGTTTATACCAAAAGTAACATCGCTGAGAAAATGAGAACAAAAGAGCGAATTTTACAAAATCCCCATCAAGAAGGTTACATCTTTTTTTTTAAATGAAGGCTCAACTGTGTATAACTGTGAATAATCTTTGAATAATCAGCTATGAATAACTTTTAAGACACCATCGAACCCACCAGCAATCTTCTTTGAGGTCATGGCTCAATACTCCTGATCTTCGGTTGACTTTCATAGCAGGAACATTCACTCCAGGTTAGGAAAAAGGTTCATAAAGCTGTTGGCATATTTTTGTCCTTTCTTATCCTTGTTCATTCTTTCTATTTTTATAAACTTTAGGCGTTGCCAGATTTTGTTTGGATTTTTAATTGGTGCCTCTGCTATTTATCCTTTGGGACAATCCTCTTCTCCCATCTACCCCCTTTCCTAGTTAGTTCTGTTTTAAGAATAGTCATAGTTTGTATTTTGAGACACAATTATTTGGTGGATTGTTTCATCAGATTTTGGTGGTTGCTGTTACTGATATCACTGCATTTAGATTTTTTCCCTAATTTCCGCATACTTTTTATTTCCTTGACTGTATTACACCCAATGAAGGTCTCACCACAAGCTGTTTTCATTATTATTTTTTTCACTGCAAGAAGTATAGGACTGAATAACAAATAGAAAATAGTAAAAAGAAAAATGGAAAATTGATCATTTATAAAATGGTTACTCATTGAAATATAATTTCAGTAATAGTAATTTTTACTGATTTTAGACATCATCTGTGCATTTGCAAAAATAATATCCACAAGCTTTTTTCATATCTATTTAATATATAGTATATATATAATCATATATCCTAAGCAATATCCCAATTGAACAGAGATGAAATTAAGCTTGCGTGATTGTCTTAGACACATTTCACAGGGTTCAATCTTAGACACATTTCACAGGGTTCAATCCTTCACACTGTTAGTGAGTTAGATCACTATCCTCCTGCCAATTATGGTTCTCCACACTCAGGGGAAACCACAGCTTTAGCATTGCGTATATTTGTATTATGCATTTGGTGCAAACACTACTGTAAATTACATCTGCATGCATTTGCCATCATATCTTTGCCTTTTTGTCATACTTTTGATTTAGTGAAATACTAAAGAAGATCTCACTTCAGCAGAGCTTGTATTCAGTTTATATAAACACTTGTATAAGTATAAAAGCAATTTGTAGAGTTTTCAGGGACTTCCAAGATAAGGAAGTCCTTCACAGATGAAGACATGAACTCAATACAATTTTAAAAAATTAAGTTGGGTGAAATGAAAAAAAATCTCTTTTCCCCCCACCTTTAATTTGTACATTTCAAGGTAGAGTACATAATGTTTTCCCCCATAACAACCACCCTATGAGGTGGGACTGGGCTGAGAGAAAGTGGCTGGCAAAGTCTGAAGCTAGCTTTCATGCCTGAAGGAGGGCAAGAGGTCCTGGTCTCCAGATTTAAGTGCTGTACCCAATTGGCTCTCGTATATGAGGGTTATATGAGATGAACAGGCCCCATCCTCTTAGTTTTTCCCTCCCAAAGTTCTTTTAGTTCAAGATTCCTTCAAGGCAACTGCAATTTTGAGGTAACATTTTGGCAACAGCGTTCCATCACAGATTGAAATGGAAAGAAGAAGAATACAGGTAGTCCTCAACGTACGACAGCAATTGAACCCAAAATATATGTTGCTAAGTAAGAAGTTTGTTAAGTGACTTTTTCCCCATTTTACGACATTTTTTGCCACATTTTACCAAATTTCTTGCCATATTTGATAAGTGAATCACTGCAGTTGTTAAATTAGTAATACGGTTGTTAAATTAATCTGGTTTCCCTATTGACTTTGCTTGTCGGAAGGCCCCAAAAGGGGATCACATGACCCTGGGACACTGCAACCGTCATAAATGTGAGTCAGTTGTCAAGCATCTGAATGTAAATCGCATGACCATGGGGGATGCTGCAACAGTCATAAATGTGAAAAATTGTCATAAGTTTTTTTTTCAGTGCCATTGTAACGGTCACTAAATGACCTGTTGTAAATTGAGGACTACCTGTATTGGCTTGTATGACAGAAATGTTTTAAATATAGAGAAACAAAGCTCAATAAAGACATCATGTTAATCTTGAACTAAAAACTTCAGGCTGTGCCGGAGGTTTTTCTTTTCAAGTTAAAGATGCCTGCATTCAGGTACCACAGCTGATGTTTCATGCTTCGTAAACAAGAGTATCTTCAAAAAAAGAGTAGGACTAATTATATCCTTTTTTTTTGTTGTTGCTTAGCTCTGTCAGGAATGTTTCTCCTACGTGAAACTGAAAACCAGATTATGATACTGGAAAATCCTACTGATAAATTGCTCTCTGTAGCAGAAAGTGCGTCCGTGTGTGCACAAAAAGCTAACCTGCACCCTCTGCAGGCCATCCTTTTCCAGATCGTATTAAGTTGGTAGTTATTTATGTTGGACTTTTGCTTTGTGCTCATACAACAGAACTATATACCCTGGAACCTAATTGGAAGATGAATTCCAAAACCCTTCCAGTTGCATTCTCTTTGCCTGCTCCTACACTTTCTTCTGCATAGCCCCATTTAGGAGTGCTGCTCTTTTGTCAATCAAAGCAGGAACAACTGGTAGGAGGAATTCAACCTTGTGTATGCCCACCAGGGCAAGCATTTTCAGAGTTGGTGAATTCAGGCCACCTTAGAATATGCTTGTATGTATCTGAACAGAATGGAATTCTACATTTGGAGATTGGCAAGGTTTCCTTTGATTGTCAGGATCCAATGGAATTGTCAATGAAAGATGGGATTCATGCTACATGGGGAAATTCCCAATAATATGTGAGTCATGAGCAAAAGAAATAACAGGCTATATACGGGGATTTCCTGGAGAGCCAGTCCTATTTTGAGTCAAAGCTTATAGCTTGAATTTGGCTATGAAGTTATGAGAGTTCTCTATGTTTGGCTACTGTGCTGTGGAAAAGGAAAGGGCATAAACTCCATCTAGATTCTCATTTTTATCTCGACTATAATTGTTCTGAGTTATTGTTATTTAGTTAGCTTTATATATCATCCATCTCTTAGGACAGCGGTCCCCAACCTTTGCAGCTTAGTGGCTGGGGGTGGGGGGAGAAGAGAACTGAGTTCTGTGTGTGGCGGGCCGGTGCACACAACTCAACTTGCATGAGGGCTAGGCTGGTGTGTACATGCATGTGCCTGCAGCTCCACTTGTGCAAATTGAGCAAGCCGGCTCGCACTCACACGTTAAGCTGTGCACGCACCAGCCTGCCACTCACAGGGCCCGGTTCCAAACAGGCCACAGCCAGTGGTGGTATTCAGCCAGTTTGCACCACGTCGGGAGAACCAGTTGTTAACTTTCTGAGCAGTTTGGCAAACTGGTTGTTGGAAGAAATCATTAGGGTAGAAAACCGGTTGTTAAATTATTTTAATCCCACCACTGGCCACAGCCCAGTAGTGGGACATGGCCCAGTGGTTCGGGACCCCTGTTTTATGAGACTGAGAATCCCCACTGTTGCTATTAACTGAAAGCAACACAAAGTTACATTATATAAACTATCCCCAGTATTTTTCTAAAAGTAATATGGTCAGAGTATTTTATGAGAGTTAGTACTAAAAGGAAAAGTTAGAGTCCAGCAGGAGGTTGAAATGAATCAGCATTTAGACAGCCAGTCTAAAGATAAAAAGATAAAGTAAAAGTTCAAAAAGTGAAGTTAAAGCCCAGGCATGCTTAAAAAACCCGAAATGTCGAAAAAAAGATAGACGCCCATGATTTTCTGACTGCTCCCAAAGAGAACTGATATCTTCAAGACTTCCCTTCCCAGTGATCCACGTCTGTCCAAAAGTCATCATAGATCATTCGTAAATGCTCCCATTCAAATACAGGAAGCAGTATTGCCAGAAAACCAGCTTTGGCAGCAAAATCAGCAGATTGTTAAGCAAGAGAGAAAAAGCCTCTTACCATTCACCACTCCACTTGGGGAGGAGTTTCCAATAGGCTTTTTTTTTTTTTGGCCAGAAACTGGAAGTAAATGCTGAAAACCAGCAAAATAAATAAATAAATAAATTGAACATCGCAGCCAGGTGACTATAGGATGTTACAAATGGCTGTTTAGGTGATCCTCTTGCCAAACACCCAAAATGTAATCATGTCACTGAGGAAGATTGGGGCATGAATTTATTACACTTAATTGGAAACCACTTCTACCTGGACTTTGCTGGGAAGATAGACTGATTGTGGAGATTGAATGTATTATATTTAACTAGACAATAATTGATAAGAGGCATGAAGAAACAAACATCGATATTTGATCCAGGACGAATAACTCTTAAAACTCTTGGTATGATTTGGGATAGATAAGACGCTGTGGCAAACTTCCTACAAGTTGATTATAAAAGAATTTAACAGAGGGTTTTGAAAATTTAATTTTGTCCTTTTTATTATTATTGTTCTTCCTGTTAACTATTTTGTCATTAATATAGCTTATAGATGACAGGTCAATAATTTGCAAATAGATTTACTAGTTTAAAACATTGGGGAGGGCTGTTTGGCAGTGGGTGAGAACCAATATTGCAGTACTGTAATGTATTAATCAGTGTTCAGTTAGGGGGGATAATATGTGTATATGTACTGGGTTTTTTCTTTTTAATGCTCTTTTTTAATGTCTTGTTTGTTTTATATTTTTTCTCTGTTCTTGTTTTGGGGTGTGGAGTTTTTTGAGGTTTGTACCTTAACCTTTTTTTCCAAATAAAATAAAAATGCCTGGATAAAATGGACTTGCTTAAGGACTGTTGTGTTTACTTAACAAATGCTGCAGAAAAGGTCATAAAATCAGATGCAGACAAATGGTGACCTGCTTAACAATCACAACAACTTACGATTGTAATTCCAGTTGTAAGTTGAGGACTGCCTGTAGTGATTTACAAAATAGTGGTGACATTAACCCAATAAGCTAAGCCAACACCAAGCTATTTATATTATGGCTTAGCACAATTCTATTTATTTGTTATTTGAAATTTGTGTTATTTATCTGTTAATGTCCAACAGCTTGAGCCAGTTTTTGTGAAGTTCTCCCTTAATTTGATCTGCAGAACAATTGAGTGAGAGAGAACATCCCAATGCAGAGGCAGCCGCATGTTAAAAACCAGAGTTTCAATTCCACCACTGCAGTCACCATTCTGACTTTTGAAACCACAGCTTGTGGACACCCTGACTCAGAGTTACTTAGTGAATTTCCATTTCTGAACCCGGTCCTAGTTCAGCCCTTAAATAGTACACCACAAATATGTAGTGAATGAAGCCAGTATCTCAATAAAATCTATTTCCTCAAGCAAGAATTAGTTGATATAATAGAAATCTGCTAAATTACTGGCTAAAGAGCTTTCTCAGACATAATCCAGCAAACAAGACCTCTTTATGTGATAGCCTTTAAAACATGAGGCGCCCTTCTCCCTCTGTGAACCTCTCTGATTCACAGGAAAGATGCTGCATTGCCTCCTGGGTGAATCCCTGGCTCTGGAATTCATTTCCTAAAAAAATTTAAAGCATGCCAAACATTTGCGAAGATGGTTAGAAACCACCCCCTTCATCAAGTTTTTTAATGGTTAATTATTTAATATTGATTGTCATTTCTCTTTTAACTATTAATGCTTTGCTGCAAATGGCTATGGATTTTAAATAAACAGAAAAGTGCAACTTTTATTCAATAAGGCAATAACAAATGAGTATGCCGATCATAAACCATGGCGGGATTTATACACAACCCCTACATCAGAAGCAAACTATGTTTTGGATTTGTGTGATGTGTAATCCCCAGCTCAATGTCACAGAAGGTTTTGTTCATTTCAGAAAGCTGAAGATGCTGCATCTCTCAGATTAAATAGGTTTATGAAACAATATAAAAGCCTATTAAATTTGGGAGGTGAGGAATAGGGTGTTGTATTTAATCTACAGACGATCCTGTCTCAATCTTCTGTTCTGAGAAAGCTGTTTAGTATAAGAAAGGCAGAGATGAAAGAGACAATTGTTTAAACATGAGCCAGTAGTGTGCAGCAGCAGCCAAAAAAGCCAATACAATCCTTGGTTGTATAAACAGATGCATAGAATCAAAATCATGTGAAGGATTCATAATGCTTTATAAATCCTTACTGCATACAGTTTTGGTCACCACATTACAAAAAAGATGTTGAGACTTTGGAAAAAGTGCAAAGAAGAGCAACTAAGATGATTAAAAGCATATGAAGAACGGATGCAATTCTTTTCTTTAGTCTAAAGAAAAGAAAGATTAGGGGTGACATGATAACAGTATTCCAATCTTTGAGGGACTAACACCAAAAAAATAGGAGGTCAACTTATTTTCCAAAGCACCAGAAGGCAAAACAAGAAACAATTGATGGAAACTAATCGAGGAGAGAAGCATCCTGGAATTAAGGAGAAAGTTCCTAGTGAGAACGATTAACCAGTGGAACAGTTTGCCTTCAGCAGTTATAGGTACTTCATCACTGGACATTTTAAAGAAAAGACTAGATACCACCTATCTGAAATGATACTGCTTGAGCAGAAGGTTGGACTAGAAGACCTCCAAGGTCCCTTCTGTATTCTGATTTAAGTGTGGCGTGGAAAGAAGTAAAGATTAAAAGAGGAGAATTTATAAAGCAAGCAGCAATACAGTTTTGCATAGAGATCAAAAGGAAGGTTAATATAAAAGTTTATATAGACATCGTGAGAAGAAAGTTCGAATCGAGATAGGTCATCTAAAGAAAACATAGGGCGCGTTTCTTGGAGCAAAAGCAGAGCTTATTTCAACAGCATAATGTGCAGTACAGCAACTGAAGGTTGCAACAGAGCAGGGGTGAAATCCAGCAGGTTCTGACAGGTTCTGGAGAACTGGTAGCGGAAATTTTGAGTAGTTCGGAGAACCGGCAAATACCACCTCTGGCTGGCCCCAGAGTGGGGTGGGAATGGAGATTTTGCAATATCCTTACCCTGGAGTGGGGTGGGAATGGAGATTTTGCCACACCCACAAAACCGGTAATAAAAAAATTTGGATTTCACCACTGCAACAGAGTTACAGTTTTCAAGTAATTACTTTTATACAGTACCTTTCCTCTCAGAGGTAGAGCTGTCCTTTAGAAATTATTGGAAACTTTAACTAGCTGAATGGCCAAAGTGGGGCATTTAGCGGTTAGACACCCTGCTGAGCGGGAGAGGCTTTTCCACTCTTTTACCGTATTAACTGGTTTCCTGCTTAATTAGAACTGCGGCTGGAAGAGGCAATCACAGAGGAAAGGATTTTTTTCCCCTTTATTAAGAGACATGCTATGTGGTATTTACCTGAATGACCTTGCAACCCTGGGCCAACATCTTTGTATGTGTAAAGGATTTCCATGTCCTGACAGATGAAAAAGAACAAAAGAGCCATAACAGATCATGCTCCTTTTTAATTCTCTTTTAGAAAGACGTCTGCATCTATCTGCATTACTGCAATGCAGTAACTATGCCTTTGAAAAGCCGTCAAATACTGCCATTGATACCAAATGAGGCAGCTTGTATATTAGTTCATTAAAGTTGCTCTAATGATGTAACCACAGCTTGATGGGTGCTGCAGAAATGACCAAGAGCCTTCTAGGTATAATTCAAAAGGCTAGGTTTGGCCTATCAAGTCCTAAATGGCTTGATGCTGAGACTGTCTTCTCCCCATCCAAGGCACACTTGCTATCAACAACTTTTAACAGTGAAGGTGAACACTATTTGCAGGACATGATGTTCAATTTGAACATACAGGGAGTCCTTAGTTAACAAACATAACTGTGTGGGAAGCCCCCTCCCCACAAGAATGAAATATTTTGGGGAATACGGTATTAAAAGAGGTAGAATATTATATTTCCTCAAAGGAGAAATGAAGAAACATGCTCTTAGAGGCAGAAAGCTGTTCCCAGTCTTTTTTAATAGCCTATAGCAGATGCCCATAAAGAAATCCTGGGCCAGCCTATTCCCAAACAAAATACCTTCACCTCCAGTGATGGGATTAAAATTTACATACTTCTTCGCCCAAATTCTGAGAACAGGACATGACCTTTAGGACATAATAGGACCTTGCGGTTTTAATTTGTAATTGGTTTTAATTGGGTTATTTTAAATTGATGGCCAAAATTATTTAATGTCTTTTAAACTGTTTTTAAATTTTATATGTTGTGTTTTACCGTGGCTGTTCACCGCCCTGTGTCCTGTTGGAGAAGGGCGGCATATAAATTAAATAAATAAATTATTATTATTATTATTATTATTATTATTAATAATAATAATAATAATAATAATATTAATAATAATAATATTAATAAGCCTTTAGGATTAACCCACCACCATTAGAATAGCAAAAGACACAGAGCTCACTACATTGCACAAACTCTAGGGGCATTTCAGATATTGCACAACCCCCAGAACCATTTCAGAAACTGTATAAAAATCCTTCACTCATCAAGCTAATTTGTCAGCTGCCCCAGAACTGCATACTGTGGTTCTGTTTATCAATAAACGGACCTTCGTTCCAATCATCCTCCATTTTATTTCCAGCACCTTTCTCCCAGCTTGAAATGAACCAGATGGATTTTTCTACCATCACTAAACAATGTGGTCATAAAGTGAAAAATTACATGACTGCAGCAATTTATGACAGCAATTTTGGCAGTTGTTCTTGCAGTTATTAAGCTAATTGCACATAGTTATTAAGTACAATATCATGTGACTGTGACTTTCGATTTTCTGCTGGCTTCCCCACTGATTTTGCATGTTGGTTGCAAATGCTGTGAAGGTTGCAAATGCTGATCATATGACTGAGGAGATGCTGCAACACAATTTCAAGGGCTGACATCTCCTTGTTCTGCACTGTCATAACTTTGAACAGTTGCTGGACAAATGGTCATTAAGCAAGAACTACCTATGTTATATATAGTCTCTGGAAATTAAGAGTGGCAACTTCACTGTTGGCCTTTCAGAAGTTATTGAAGGCAGACCTATTCTGGAGGGCTCTTGGGAATGTCCTTATTATATTATAGTAATTTGTGCTTTTATTGGTTTGTATGGTTTCTGATCAAAATAATGATGTATAGGTAGTCCTCGACTCACAACAGTTCGTTTAGTGACCTTTCAACGTTACAATGGTACTGAAAAAAGTGACTTATGACCATTTTTCACACATGACCATTGCAGCATCCCCATGGTCATGTGATTTACGTTCAGATGCTTGACAACTGGTTTATAGTTATGATGCTTCCAGTGTCCCAGGGTCATATGATCACATTTACGATCTTCTGACAAGCAAAATCAATGGGGAAACCAGATTCACGTAACAACTGCATTACTACTTTAACAACGGCACTGATTCACTTAAGAAATGTGGCAAGAAAAGTCATAAAATGGAGAAAACTCACTTAACAAATGCCTCACTTAGCAACAGAAATTCTGGGCTCACTTTTGGTCGCAAGTTGAGGGTTACCTGTAGTTTTAAAATTTCTGGAAGTTGTTATTGGAATCTGGAAGTATATAAACACAAATAAATAAATAGTTCTAATGTTTGTATTTGACAGCCAGTTTGGTGTGGAAGTGGTTAAGGCTAGAAATCTGGAGACCATACATGTATAAATATATGTGTATATGTTTTATATGTATATAAAAAAGCAGGAGAGTATATATTGATGATTTGTGAAAAATAAACAATTATTTATTATTATTATAGGGAGTAACTTTTTCTTTCCCTTTTAACCCCTCTTCTTTTGTCTCATTAAAGAGTTTTTGCAAATACTTAGATATTGGTTCTAATATCTAGTGGCTAACCCTGAATCAGGAAATTGAGAAATTGGTTTATAGTTTATTTACTTTTGACAAGTCATCACTGTGTAGTTTCATGCTTATGAGTGTTCAAAGTTGATGTGGATAATTTTATCCAATGTCTTTAAGCAGCTTCCATTTGCATTAGCAAATACTTTCTGCTTATTATGACTCAAATTTCATTATACTGTTGAGGGCAGTTGGAAAATAAACTAAGTAGAACTTATTGTAAATTCTTGTAACTGGAATGCAGAGATGTGATGTACATTTTTAAAAATATGCCTGATGATGTTTCCTTCATCTCATCCTCAGTCTGCCATAAAGTCAGCTTTAGGTGATATTTCATGTTCAAGTTTTAAAATTGAGCTCTTCCTCTTCTCCCAAAATATTTTTAGCTGTGAATATGACTAAGACACTTCCCCAAAACAGTGGTGATAAAGCTAGCAGTGGCAGCAATCTGTCACCATATTTTGGACCAGCTTTAGTTTCTGAGTGGTTTCCAAAGGCAGCCCCATATAGAGTACATTGCAATAGTCCATTTGAGAGGTGATGTTTAGGATATCAGTGTCTGAAGGGTTTCTCCATAACCTGAAGCTCTGAGGATGTTGGGAGGCAGCCTCCAAGCAGTCGTTTTTCTCCCTGGATTTTTGTCTTTGATAGTGCTTTGTTTCCCAAGTTTCTTTGAAAAACCTGTTTTTCAAAACTGAACTCTTTCCAAGCTTTCAACAAGTGGGATAACAGCAGATCTAGTTTTAGTTAGGGGAGAAAAGAATGGATGGATGGATGGATGGATGGATGGATGGATGGATGGATGGATGGATAGATAGATAGATATGTGAGTGTGTAAATGAGTTTACACACAGATAGGTATATATGTATGTAAACTCATTTACACTTTAAAACTGTCAGTATTGAGAAGAACTATATCACCTACATGATCAGTCCTATCTTTTTATGCCATTGAGACTATTTATATTTGGTACAAGCAGCCTGGTTTTTTAAATGTTTGTGCACACCTTTTTTTCAATTATTAAATAGATACTGTAGTTTGTTAACCATGAGTTATTGATTCAAAGGTCAATTGTATGCTTTAAGTGATTGGCCTCAGAATATCTGCAACCTTCTGGCAGGGCACAATGTGAGAATCAGTAACAAATCACTTGCATGAACCACAATTAATCCAACAGGTCAACCTAGCATATTACAGTTAGCATTTCTTCAATTAAATCCTCATAGTTTTGCAACCATTGTCCATTTAGGAATGAAAATCAGTCTCATTAACCATGTTTCCTGGTTAAACTCGTAGATCCACACAGCTGGGGTCCAACTGAGTATAATGTAAATCCTCTGGGATCTGTAAGCAGAATTAAAAATGTTTATCCTGGTGAAAGGTCACTTCTAAAGGGATAGACATAAGATAGTTTTCTGCATGATAGTGTCATTCTCTCTCCAAGAAAAACTTGCTTAATTTTGATTACTGCATGTTTAAACATTTATTGAAGACAGCCCTCTGAATGGTGCAGTGGCCTAACCTCACAATCAGGAGGCTGTGGGTTCGATCCTAGGTACAGGCAGATATTTCTCTCTCTGGGCACCATGAGAATTGAATATATAATATAATATGCTGAATATAACTCCACATTGGCGACAGGAAGGGCATCCGGCCAGTAAACACTCAGTTCCATTCACTTACTCAGACTCCATCCCGCAAGGGATTATGGGGTCATTAAAAGATGACAATGATTGAAGCCAGCCCCCTAAACTAAGATGCCCTCTTAGGTGCCACATCCATCATCCTCAGTCAGGAGAATGACAGTCCAACACCTCTGGAGGAGGGCACCACACTAGGTAAGGCAAATCTATGCTATTCCTTTCCATTATTTTATTATATTGCTTCCAGGTAGCGTTTGCTGTTGTTATTCCAGGGTTGTCTACTATTTTAATAAAGATGGATATCATCATCATCATCATGAGTTTCGGTTGCTGCTGGACGATCTTCCAAAATTAAAAGGGATGAATACACACCTGGGACCAAATCTTTCCGAGCTGTTATTCCTCCATTTAAATCTCAGCTGGTGATTTTTATTTAAACTTTCCCAATTTGGCAACTTTTAAGAAGTGTGGATTTCAACTTCCAGAATTCCCCTCAGTATCACGACGTCGGCGGGGGAACTCTGGGAGTTGAAGTCCTGGCTTCTTCAAACCGCTGTAGAGTAGACGTTGAACTTCGGAGCTGCGCCTTCACTGGACCACGCCTTCCTTAGCCCCGCCCAGTCCCGCTGTAACCATGGCAGTCAAGAAACATCCCCCACCCACTCACCCACCCTGCCTGTCCGCTAAGGCTAAGCGGAAGTGACTCTTCATGCACTTCCTGCGAACACCGGTTGACGTGTCTGCCGAAGCCGGAAGTAGCCGCCGAGGAGGCTCGGAGCGTCGGGGGGCCGCGGGGTTTTGTTTTGTTTTGGCTTCCTCGCCGTCCTCGTCCGGGTCGCCATGGCGGTCGCGCGGCTGTTGCTGCTTTCCGCACTCCAGGCGGTTCTTCCGCCCTTCGCCTCCTCTTTCTACCTGCCCGGCCTGGCTCCCGTTAACTTTTGCGAGAAGTCGAATACGATCTCGGAATGCAAGGTCTGTGGCTGAGGAGGAGGGTCCCTTGGCTGGGAGAGGGGCGGGTCGGGACGGGGCTGGGAGGATCGGGACGGGCGAGCTATCCTCCCCAAGTTCTCTGCCTCTGGGGCGGTTGCTGGTGATAATAGAAGGTCGGCTTGGCGGGTGGCTCCCTTCCTTGGCCATTATCCTCAAGGGCTTTGCAGTACTGGGATTTTTTTCCCCAATCAACAACACTGTCAAATAATTTACTAAAATTATTACTATTGTATTACTATATTATTATTATTACTAATAATTATTACTATTATTCTCTTCCTTACTAGTATCTATCTCTTCCCACTTACTATGACCATGTTGCTTGTATCTTTATATATATATATATATATATATATATATATATATATATATATATATATATATATATATATATATATATATATATATATATACACATACATACATACACACACACACATATACATATACATATACATACATACATACATACATACATACATACATACATATTTATATATTTTGCTTTAATTTATATGCTGCCCTTCTCCGGAGACTCAGGGCCGCTTACAATGTGTTAAGCAATAGCCTTCATACTTTTGTATATTTATACAAAGTCATCTTATTGCCCCCACAATCTGGGTCCTCATTTTACCTACCTTTGAAAGGATGGGAGGCTGAGTCAACCTTGAGCCTGGTGAGATTTGAACTTGCAGTAATTGTAGGCAGCAGATGTTAATAACAGTGCTTTAGTCCACTGTACTATCAGGCTCTTACATATTGTTTGTATTGTTATTTATTTATATTGTTATTTATATTTATATTGATAGCTTATTAGTAACCTTGACTATCACTAAGTGTTGTATCTTTTTATTCTCGATGAGTGTATTTTATTCTCCTTATGTACACTGAGAGCATATACACCAAAGACAAATTCCTCGTGTGTCCAATCACACTTGGCCAATAAAGAATTCTATCTCATAGTGTCTGCTAAGATCTGTTCATCTGCCATCCAGATAGACAGACCAACTGACAGATCAGGTCTCAGCCTACTTAGCATCATCTTTTCCTTCTCCTCCTCCTGCCAAAGGTGACTAAAAGGGCTATTCCCTGTTGCAAAAATCAAAAAGTTAACCCCCCCCTTCATTGATTTCTTGAATGGGTCGTGTTATTTTCTTTGACCGTAATTACCAAAGTGTGATTTTCCATTTGCTTCTTCTGGTTTGTATAGTTGGGCTTTTGACTTTCCTGACCTTGGCCATCGACCTGGCACTTCTCTCGAGTGTCTACTGTCCTTTACAATTCAAATAGTTGAAGAGGAAGTTTAAAAAAAAAAGTTTATTATCCAGTCTTAATTTGTATTTTGCCAACATGAAGCCGAACTCAAGGGAGTAGCCATCCCACCCCCTTTCCAATTTGAATGAGCAGATGAGCTTTTTAAAGAAAGAAATCTGGTTGAGATTTGAGGGTAATGTTTCAAACACAAATGTATTGTGGCTCATCTGTTCTCTGATCTCACCTGTAATCTTGAGAATTGATCCACCAGTAAGGTTTTTTTTCTGAACCAATTTCATTGATGTCCTGCTGTTTGAATCACCAAATGACTGTGGTAGACAATGCATATTGAAGCTTCATGGAAAAAGAGATGGTGTTTTTCTTAAAATTTTGCTATTGATGATTAGTAAAGCTTAATTATGGCTTAGAATTATGTGCATAGCTGTAGATATTTAATAAATGGTTAGAGGAACCAAGGCTTAGCACATTCTGTAAATTTAATCATTATTTACATTAAATAAATTTTAAGTTCCTGCTGGAGCCTTCTAGATGAATGGAAAATTTATTAGTGCGTGATTTGAGAAGAGGAAAAGCATCTTAATTAGTTCAGTTTTCCTTTCTGTTCCTAGAGATGTCTTTTACATATTTTATATATTGTCATGATATGTGAACCCAGCCACTGATATTTATTTTTCAAAGTATGGTTTATGGCAGGGGTGGGCAAATGTGGCCCTTTTACAACCTGTGGACTTCAAGGAATTCTGGGAGTTGAAGTCCACAGGTTGTAAAAGGGCCACATTTGCCCACCCCTGGTTTATGGCTTAGCTCTTGGTGGATCATGTGTTTGACATCATGGCATGTGCAATAAATTAATTAAATTTCAATTAAGTTAAAATAAGTTAAGTTAAATTACTATAGTATATTAGTAGGTAAGAAATGCCATTCTCAGACTGGCATTTTCCTCACATTCCTTTGTGGCAATTGTACTATTTTGACAATCCTAAATAAATAAATATAAATCTATCCATTGTCATTTATCTCCAGAATGCAGATAAATGAAATCACTTTTCTATACATTGGATAATCAATATAATTATTACAAAAATTGATTATGGCCCCCTGTTTTTTGTGCCTTTAGAAAAGATCACTTAGAACTCTAGAAATAGATGTCTGTCTGGTGCCATCTGCCATTATAATCATCATATTCAGGGCCAGAATGCTGAGAAGAGGGAATAAGAAACCTATTGAATTTGTGTTTTATCTGTTTGCATAGAGCTATTTGGAAGGTCATTGTCAGATACAGAAAATTAATCTGATCTCATTGGAAAAACTATAATAATACATCATGTTAATTAATTATTTTTAATGATATGTGTTTTCCATGTTGGGAAGTTTATTTTATACTATCAATCCTACTATATTTCTTCCCATGGGCTACATGCATTGAAAGTTGTAACCTTGTGTACCAACTTCCTAATTTGTTTTAGGAGCTGTCAGCATCCACATGCATCACATGTAGGAAACATGATTTTCCTAAAGAGAGTGAGAAATTCCTATTACTAACTAGATCTATTTGCTGTTGGAAAACAGAATTCAATAAAAGCACATTTACTTTAGACTTTAGTTGTTCTAAATAAAGTACTATGTTCAAAATACTTTAATTACATTGTCTATAGCTAAGAAAATCAATATGGGTTAATTTAATTATCTCTAATAATGTTTTCTTACTGTTTGCAGTCTGCGATAGAACTATTTGTGAATAGACTGGATTCTGTGGAATCAGTTCTTCCTTATGAATATACTGCGTAAGTATATTAAATCTTATTCCTAATTTGGTTTGTAACATTGAACTATTAGTACTTTATAAATGCTTTGCTAAACTAAAAAAGGAATAGCTATCCCAATTCAGCCACGGTGGAAAATTACCTTTGCCCTTTGGATTAGTTGCTTGGTGCAATATGTGACTTGCTAAATCCTATTCTAAGTATTTGTCCTGAGGACAGTATTGCATTGATTTGCTAAATTGTAGAAGTTAATTTTATAATTTATCTCTACTATTCTAAATAAACATGGGGCATCATTTTGTTCCATAGTATAGATGTGATCATAATGCATATCTAATAAAGGTTATTTTAGTTGTGTTCTATTGTATTTTAGAATCTCATAACTAAAAATGTTCAAATTGCTAAAGTAATTAATTTTAAATATCAGTATTTATTAGATTTCCTGTACATCTTAATGCACAAATACAATTCTTTTGGAAAATATAATATTTTTTCCCAAGCATAAATTTTAAACATCAAAGATGGAAAAATTATGATATCTTACACAAGAATGCAGATCTGATAAGATATGACACTCATAATATTTTGGGTTATTTTTACATTTAAAAAGCTTAAAACGTTTTTCCTTTTGTCTTAATATTTTTTTGAACAAAGGTTATCATTTAGTATTATGGTTAAGGTTTAAGATTTAAGGTTTATTTGGATTTATATACCGCCCTTCTCCCGAAGGACTCAGGGCGGTGAGCAGCCAAAGATAAAACACATACAATATAAAATTTAAAAAACAACTTAAAACATATTAAACAAATTTGGCCCATACTAATTAAAACACCCCTTTTTTAAAAACCAAATTAAAAATTAAACCATTAAAAGAGTTAGGCCAGCCCAGCCTGTTGGAATAAAAAAATCTTGAGGGCACGGCCAAAAGTGTGTAAATCCGGGATCCTCCGTATCTCCGGTGGGAGCTCGTTCCAAAGGGCAGGTGCCCCCACAGACAAGGCTCTCCACCTGGCGGCCGCCAGTCGACACTGTTTGACCGACGGCACCCTGAGGAGCCCCTCTCTCTGGGAGCGTACTGGCCAGTGAGAGGCTACCAGTGGCAGAAGGCGGTCTCGTAGGTACCCAGGTCCTAAGCCATGGAGCGCTCTAAAGGTGGTAACCAATACCTTGAAGCGCACCTGGAAGACTACCGGGAGCCAGTGCAGCTCGCGCAGGAGAGGTGTTACATGGGAGCGCCATGTCGCTCCCATAACCGCCCGCGCAGCCGCATTCTGGACCAGTTGGAGCCTCCGGGTGCTCCTCAAGTGAGGTAACATGGTGCTTGATAAAGTTGCGTTGGTTGGTTGATTATGTGTCATCTGTTTGTTTGTTGTAACCCTAACACTAACCTCTTACCAACCACATAACATGACAAACATTTCTAATCTTGTCCTTCAAGTCTTCCAATGGTGCACCCTTCACCAGTACATCTACCAAGCTACCTACCATCTTTTTCTCTTCCACCTTTTCCAAAATTAGATCCTTTTCCAGAGAACTAGGCCTTTGCATAATGCATCTGAAATATAATAACCTAAGCTTGGTGTTTCTTAAGTGAAAAATTGGGTTGATTTATTCAGTGATCCGTTTGTTTATTTTTTGCCTGTCCATGGTTTCTCAAGATTTTTCATCAACAGCAAAGTTTAAAAGTGTCAAAACTTTATCCTGTTTCTTTTAAATCCAACTTTCACTTTGATAGCGTATCAGAGGGAATACCATTAGTGTTTTGCTAGTGGCCCTCAATGTAAGGCTGGGAGAATATTAGGTATAACCACACTAGATTTGAAGGCTTGATCCCTCTGACATTAGTAGATAATTGCAATGTGAGATGGAAGAGTCTAAATACTTAATAGAGAAGTTCCATTTTTATTATTTTCTAAGGCCATTTTTTTCTGGGCATGGAAAGGCAGCCAGACCAAAATATATTTTAAGTATTTGATTCATGCTTCTTTAGGTCTGAAGATACTTAAATTTTATCCCAATTTCCAAGCTAAAAAGTTCTCTAATATTAGCTTGGTTTACTGTCCTACCATTGACTGTATTTGGAAGGTAGATATAAGAAAATACCCTATACTTCCTAACTGTGCCCCTGCAACACAGGCATTATAAAATCCACTGCCCATCTCTTACGCATTCATTAAATTTGAATGGATGCCAATTTCACAAAAAGCAACTCTGGGCAATGTCAACAATCCAATAAGATAACACACATATAAGTATGAAATCTATAAAAATATAAAAATGCACATTAAAAGATAAATATTATAAAAATAAATATGTAAACCCTATGCAAAGAGAGGATAAGAATAGCTACCTCAGCAATGGAGCCATCTAAGCATGTCTCCAGGTCCCTGGGACCCCAGGCCTGATAACATAACCAGGTCTTGAGGGGCTTCAAGTATATCAAAAGGAATGAATAAATCCCTTATTATATTATAGGATTTATAGAGAGTCTGGAACTTGCTCTATCTATCACGTAGAAAAATATCCAAGGATACTGATTCTTTCTGCGTGCAGTTTCTTCCACCTGACTAGTTGAACTCTTGTTTCTTTGAATCTTGCCAAGTTTGGTTATATGGTCTTCCGGGTGCGCTTCAAGGTTTTGGTTACCACCTTTAAAGCGCTCCATGGCTTAGGACCCGGGTACTTGCGGGACCGCCTACTACCACCAATAGCCTCCCACCGGCCGGTACGCTCCCATAGAGAGGGGCTCCTCCGGGTGCCGTCAGCCAAACAATGCCGACTGGCGGCCCCCAGGGGGAGAGCCTTCTCTGTGGGGGCACCTACTATCTGGAACGAGCTCCCCCCCAGAGATACGGAGGATCCCGGATCTGCGCACCTTCCGCCGCGCCTTAAAGACCTTACTATTTCACCAGGCCGGCCTGGCCTAATTTTCCCCCTCTTTTATAAAAGATTTTTAAAATTTTAAATATTTTTTAGTATTTATATATTCAATTTTAAATTGGTTTTAAAAGTTTGGGGTTTTAAATTTGTCGGGGCCAAAATTATTTAATTTGATTTTATTCTATTTTTTAAATTTTGTATTGTATGTGTTTTTATTGTTTGGCTGTGCACCGCCCTGAGTCCTTCGGGAGTAGGGCGGTATAGAAATCTAATAAATAAATAAATAAAAAAATAAATAAAATACTACCATCAAAATAAAGTGGGAATTGACATATTCACAGACTGAAAAACATAAACAAATGGATGATAAGGAATTCTGTTGCTATGTAACCTAGAGGGTGTACGCTTCCTCCTTGACTACAGGCAATAGTTTTAAATTCAGAACTTTGGTGACATCAATATATTTTCTCAGATTCCAATTTTTAGCTTTTGTTAACTGTATAGTTTTAAACAATATGTTTTTAGCTTTACGATATCAGCTTTGATATTAACATGTTAAAATATTAATATACATTAATCATATATTTGTGTATAGGATGTCACCTAAGATGATATTCTCTGATGTATTATTTTATGTCTTCTTTGCTTGACTGCCTCTGTTTTATTTGGGTCGTTGACTAAAATGAAGGATTGACATTCTGACTAGTTCTTGTTGGTGAGATATATTAAAATAAAACAGTCCCAAAATATGATTGAAAGTGTTAATTTCTGAAAACTTATAAACTACTTAAAATTAATTTAAGTAAAAAGTGATGTGCAGAGGGATATAAATAAAATAAAATAAAATATTTTAACTCATATTGAGATGTTGGAATTTTATAAATCTGTATTCTTCCATAGATTTGATTTTTGCCAAGCAGAGGGAGGAAAACGACCTTCTGAAAACCTTGGTCAAGTATTGTTTGGTGAGAGGATTGAACCATCTCCCTACAAGGTATAATCCTCATTTGAACAACTGAACAAATGTAAAATTGCAAAACAGAAAGCATGAATCTCACCAAGATGAAAACCTGAGCGGAATTGTTGCATGGGAAGTACCAGTATGTAGCATTCTTGGGCCAATTTTAGAGACTTGGGAGGAACCTACAGATGCTAAAGCCTGCTCTGATTTTTTTTCTTTTCCTTTTTTTCTTGCTGCTGCTAGGATTCTGATCTAAACAACATTCTAATTCAGTTTAATGATATGGCCTCATTTTGCATTTTTCACAGTACAAATTCTTGATGGAGATATTGCATTAAAACTAATTTTCTGGTATCGTTACTGTAGTTGTCATGTTGCAAGGTTTACTTTTATTTAAGCTTCACTCTTCCACTCTTCCAGTGGTTTCATATTGTCCTCAAGCACCTTCTGGTACAATGAAGAATTCCTAATTGATTCTATGATGCTGAGCTTCCAAACCCTGATGCAGCAAAGCACCCCAAATCATAACATTTCCAACACTAGTTGGTATCTGATGAATGTTTCTTCTGGTGAAATGTTTCAATAAACATGTCTTCTAGTACTCTGGCCAAATAACCCTATATTTGTCTTATTTATTCAGAGCACATTATTCCAGAAGTCCTGGTTTTGCTTTGCTGATAATGAGCAAACTTTAATATTGCCCTGATGTTTTGTTTTTTTGGATGGCAAAGGTAACCTTCTGACATACCTCTTATTTAGATTTAATTTGTGCAGCTCTTCTCTAAAAGGTAGATTCATCCATTTTGACTCAGGTATGGTGAGAACTACCTATAGGTCACATGATGAAATTCTGGGTTCTTAAGAGACTTGTTTCAGCATCTGTTCTGAGATTGAAGTTGCCTGGCCTAGGCAAGTTGGCAGTTGAAATCTTCACCATTTGTAGGTGAAACAATGGGCTACAAAATAGAAGTGATGCATTATATTTGTTATATCCCATTTATCGATATTATTGACGTGAAGATCAAATATCTGTTTGTTGAAATATATTGAACACTTTTCAGTGAGGATATATCTCTCTTCAGTGTCCAATTTATGTTTTATGGCTGTAAGATGCTCAAATAGTGAGAGAACAGTTTGCGCTGTGAGGACACATTGTTTTGTCATAAACTCAGTTGAATTTTCCCTTGGTACCTCTCTACGTTCTGATTTTTCTTATTATTTTTGGACTTCGTTTCAGCTCCCTGAAGCAGATACCTAAATTGGTTATTTGTAAAGGTGGCTATCATTTTGTTCTTCCCCAAGAAATGAGGAAAGGCCTAATAGTTATTGTTTTGCCAGCTTTGTTTGATGGTCCCATTCCAGTGCTGCAAATTTGTTAGATTTGGGGGTGGATGGGATTTGTTTTACTTGCAGTTCTCTGTCCTGCAAAGTGCTCCTCAATTCTTGGCTGTTTTACAGATTTCAAAGGAGGGAGATGTCCTGGGCTAACACCATGGCGTTTCTTTCTTTTCCCCATAACTATCAATTCTGGGCAAAATCTGTTATCTTTGTATTTGTCTTCACTATCGTCTCCTCCAAACAAAGTTAGTTAAGTAAAAATATAAGTCCAGCAAAAGTACTAAAAAATTAATTATATAATAAAACTGAGCAGAGCTGCTGTAAATGTTTGTTGCAGTTCAGATTCCTCTCCCAGTGGGGTTATATTTTTTTCGCACGACTGTAACTATGCTGCTGAATCCATTTCCATCAGTCATCACTTGTCTTATCAGCATACTGAACTGTTGTATGCCTTTGGTCAGCCCTGGTACTGCTTTTGCCTGACTCAGTCTGTTTCTGGTTTTTTTAGGCATATAATTTATCTGGGCAGACACTGCTTTCTGTGATTAGCCAGAAGGCGACATGCAGCACAAGCAGATCCGAGGAGAGGTGGTTTTAGGCAATAAAGTGGAAAAAGCCCAACTTTTAAAACAGCCAAGTTTTCAAAAAAACTTTTTTCCATCTTAACAAAGTTGTTTGGCTGCATAAGAATTGTAGATTGGAGTTATAGGCTAATTTATTAATTTAGGAATGCTTGGAGGTTACCGGTAGTTTGTCTTCTTGTATATGTATATCATATACAAGAAGATTCTTGTTAAGTTAGATTGTTTTTTTTTCATTGGGCAATTTTAGGCCACAACTGCCACATGAATTACCAGGGCAGTTTTGCAGACTCAGTGTGGAGTTACGTTTTTAGCATAATTTAAAATATAATGAGTGTTTCTTTTCATTGAGGTATAGTGTTTCTTTTTGCAAAACTTTCTCACTAAAATGCTCCTGACAGATACAGCAGATGTATTATCGTGTTAAGGCTGATCATATAACATTTATGTGTTCACCTAGACCTTTCTTTTGCAGACTCTATGTCACTGAGTACATTTTTTTCCTCTAACCTGATGCTTTCTAGATACGGTGAAATACAATTTCTATTATCTCAAGTAGCCCTTCTGATAGGAATCATGATGCAATGTGTCTGGAAGGTTGTGCTAGAATTACTCTGTACAGCCATCCTGATATTACCTTCTGTTTTTAACATTGATTTTATTATCTGACTTTTGCTTTGGTCTTGATGGGACAACAGATTTCATTAAATGTCAACTGATATTTGGTGCTTACTGCGGCCCTTCCAAAATAGAGAAGCCTAGGTATGAAAATGCTCCTCAGGTTTCATTATTGTCATGTGTTTGCAATTCTATCAGCCTGTTTTTGGAGGAATCTACCCTATAGAAATAGGGATGCGGTAGCTCAGTGGCTAAGACGCTGAGCTTGTCGATCGAAAGGTCGGCAGTTCAGCGGTTCGAATCTCTAGTGCCGCGTAACGGGGTGAGCTCCTGTTAGTTGTCCCAGTTTCTGCCAACCTAGCAGTTCGAAAGCACGTAAAAAATGCAAGTAGAAAAATAGGGACCACCTTTGGTGGAAAGGTAACAGCGTTCCATGCGCCTTTGGCGTTTAGTCATGTTGGCCACATGACCACGGAGACGTCTTCGGACAGCACTGGCTTTTCGGCTTTGAAACAGAGATGAGCACCACCCCCTAGAGTCAGGAACGACTAGCACATATGTGCGAAAGGGAACCTTTACCTTTACCCTATAGAAAAGTGTAACTTAGCTGTTAAACTGTAAGATGAATCCTTCTGAATTGGAAATCTGATTTCTTTTTCCATAAAGATTCAAGAAAGGTTCATATTCTTGTTTAAGAGAAACAAATGGTCATAGAATAGTTGGACTACAGTTTTATTTGGCTTAAATTAACAATTGCATTAGAAATATGAATTTATACAGAAGAGTTAATGCCACTTTTAGTGATACTTTTAATTACATGCATTGATTCAACAATAGTATGAATCCGCAGCTGTCAACTGGTCTATTCGTATAAAGTTTCTGTCTTAACTTTGCTATAGATTTTAAGATAGAATTCCTCATAACCTGAATATTTTTCATTTTTCACAGTTCATCTTTAACCACAAAGACACTTGCAGACATGTTTGTACAAAAGAATATGATCTTAATAAACCTGAACAAAGACAAAAATTACAATTTCTGAAAAAAAGTATGTTGTTAAACTATCAGCATCATTGGTGAGTTTACAATTTTAATGTATGTGGTTTAAATTTTATCAGAAATGAAATTATTTTATGGTAAATGGCAGTTAAAATAGAAGCAGTGTTTTTTTTTATGTTAAGTGCTGTGGATTGACACACAACTGTCAATCTACAGTTAAAACCTTACTTAGCTAAAGCAAAAGACCATGGTATAAACAACTCTTACGGCACTCTAAAGAATAATTTTTATAATGTAAATGCATCAGAAATTCATGCATATTTTTTTTTGTTAAACAGCCAGAAGATTCTTCATTGGTTTTTTTTGGCTACAAAGTTCTATTTGGTTAATCCCCTGAATTATTTAAAATATGCAATTTGATATATTGACAATCAAAATACAAGTAAAAAATAAATAAAATTTATATTATTTGTTCACCTCAAACTGCAAACTGCTTAGTTTGGGAGCCCGCCCTACCCCACCTCGGTGTTTCCTAGTTAGGAATGTCCTCTATTGGTCTGGAGTCTAGTTTGTAATATTTTTCAATGTGAATTTTTTGCCTTGGACCTTTAAATATTTATATTTATATTTAAATATTTATTATTTAGCTTTAATGTTGTTTCCTGAAGCATTTCCTGAAGTACTTTTATTTTTTTTTATAGGATTGTGGATAATATGCCAGTAACATGGTGTTACGAGGTTGAGGACAATCAGAAATTTTGCAATCCTGGATTTCCCATTGGTTGCTATGTTACAAAAGATGGACATGCCAGAGGTGCCTGTGTTATAAGTGTAAGTTCCTTGAAAGTTCACCTTGAGCCACGCCAATCTGTCTACATTTTGACACCACAATCTGCAAACGTTTGAACTGTGACTAAGTTGCTTATTTTTGTCTCTAATTGAGTGAAGACTTTATCAGGGCCTTTATTAATAGGTTACTGTTTGGTTTAAACAGCTGACATTAAACTTATCAATGTAAGGATTGCCCCACATATCTTTTAAACATAATAGGTTTTTATTTCACGTGTTTGGTTTTTCTTCTGTAAGAAGGCATCTTGTGTGCTTTGATTTAATTCTGAGTCTTTACAGATGAGTAGAGCAGGATGAGGAAAGCATTCAAAGAATAGTTCTAATCACAGCAAGGCAGTCAGTTTAGAATTATGTCAGTTAGTCTGATAGTTATCTGTGGCCTGCTAAGATTGCACAGTATAACTAAACATTGAATTATTTTTTGTATTTTACACCTATTATCACAGTTAATTTATAAGTAAAATGATTAGGAGAACTTGGGTTTTCAGAGGAAGAAAACTTGCTTTTAAAACATGAGATATAATTCATCTTTACAATTTATTTTGCCTGATTTTGAAACAATTTTGTTTAGCACCATAATTATTTCCTTGTTCTAGAAAACAAGACTTAAATGTTCCTAGCAATTTTAATAATTTGTATCAAAATAAATGCAATTAGATACTGGTAGTTAATTGTACAGATACTCCTTGCTTAATGTCTACTCATTTAGCAACTGTTTGAAGTTACAATGGCGCTAAACAAGGACAATTTACAATGGATCCTCATAGTTCTGGATGTTTCAGCATCCATACAGTCATATTATCATATTTCAGGCACTCAGCAACTGACTCGAAATTACAGTGTCACAATGTCAGTCATGTGGTTGCCATTTGCAATTTTCATTGCTGGCTTCCGACAAGCAATGGGAAAGCTTTCATGAAATCACAAATGGTAATCACATGACTCTGTGGGCTTTGCCTAACAATGACAAGTGGAACTGCCAGAGCTGCTGTTGTAAGTCAGCATAGTTATATAAAGTTACTCCTTAAACCAGCATTGCTCAGTGATGGAGTTTCCAGTCCCACTTATCCTTGGTAAGTGAGGATTACCTCTAATTTAAACATTTAAAATTGATTTTATTTGATAAAGGTACTTTGTTTAAGATGTATCCTAAATTTGTAAGTAATTTAGCTTGATTTTTTAATTCTTTATTAACAGTAAAATGTAGCTCTAGACTTTCCTATTGATGACATGCTAAGTATTTTATGCTCTAATTTATTTTATGCATTAAAAAGCAGCACTGACAAACAGTACCTGAACAGTTTATGAGCTAAGAGTGAAACTGTGAATTAGAAAGCACCTTATTACTTGACTTTATTCAATTATAATAGTAAACAATACAGTTAGTTCACATATCGGGCACAGACTTAATACTGATAATAACTTTATGCCCTTGTGGTTCCATCTGCGAGTAGGTGTATAACTGATAGCTAACAAATCATCTGCAGCTTGGATAGCAAACTTGTTAACATGACATATGAAGATGGGAATGAAGTGAACAAAGCCAGAATCTTGTCTCTCTATTAACAAGAGATTTGTGAATGGGCCTGTTCATAGCACTTACAGCTTAGTGTTAGGAATTGTGGTAAGCACTGGGTTTGTGTTTTCCTTTCCTTTGAAGGTAGAGAGTTTTCCAGCTTTCCTTTCTGTTGACCAGTCCTCAGGAATGATACATTATTAAATTATTGAAAAGTTGCTAACAGTACTTAAGAATGATTCTCAGCAAGAAATCCAAACATCTGAATCAGACCCAGTCTGATTTGATAGTAGTTCTTCAGTTTGTCATCTTAAGAAATCTTCAAGTCTTGCTTTTGGTAATGGTTTAACTGGAAACAGATGTGAAGCCCATTATGGTGGTATTTGCATGTAGGAGATAGCACATAATCTAGAACAGGCCTAGTTTCTTCAATTTAAAAATAATATCCACATTCTAATTTACTTGTTCATTTTTTTTCTTTAGTCAGAATTCCATGATGCAGATACTTTCTATATATTCAACCATGTGGATATTAAAATAGTCTATCATGTTGTGGAAAATGAAGCACCAAGGGCAAGACTCGTGGCTGCTAAACTTGAACCAAAAAGGTGAATATTGAGTTTTATGTAAGAGAACGCAAGATTATGTGGGATGCATGATGCAAATGAGATTTTTGATAATTAAAACAAACTAAGGAAACTTAATGTGCCATCCATTTTTTTATAACTTGGCCAGATAGCTGAAGCCAAAGAAAATGTGTACATAAACAAAAAAAAATATAATATTTATTGTTGCATTTATGCCCAAGTTTTGTCAGAGAGTTTGAGGTGACTTAATGGGTCTCCTTCAATTAATTTGATTCCCATCATAACAGTTCTATGAGGTACAGTTATGATTGTGAGAGAGTGACTGGCCCAAAATCTCTTGGGGAGTCATTCATTCATTCGTTCGTTCGTTTGTTCATTCATTCATTCATTCATTCATTCATTCATTCATTCATTTTGATTTGGCATCTCCTGACTCCAGAGTGGCTCTGGACAGATCACAGTAAAATTTAACAGAATCAACAATAATACAGTAAAAACCTCTTCAGCCACATGAGGACTTGAACCTGGTTTTCACCATTCAAATCAACATCTTGATTACTGTGTTACAGTAGAAATAAAATACAGTATATATTGGTGAACTCTGTGATTGCATCTTTATTCTGCTAAATCTTTAAATATTGTATGCCGCCTTATGTTCTTAGGAGTTAGTAGCCATAATGGATTGAGTAGAATCTTACATTGTAACAGTGATTCTGCTTGAAGGATGATAGTTTTGACTTTGTAGTGTATCCATTCTTTCTTATTTTTATTTAACTATTTCAGGCTGTTTGAAGTTTTATTTTTCTCTGGACAAATGTATATAAATCCATGGCCAAGACTTCCCATCTAGGTCTTTTACTTTCTATGTAATCATGCTCTCTTCTACCTTTCTTTTGTTGATATAATTAAATTTGTCTCTTCATAAGTTAGGTTTCTAATGTTATGATTACAAAATATTCTATTTTGGGCTTTGATGTTAAAACATGGTTAAGATTGAACGTGCATATTGTGATTCTACCTATAATTTGCTTCTTTTTTTCTTAGTTTCAGGCACACAAATATTGACAAACCAGACTGCTCAGGACTACCTATGGATTTAAAGAACACTGTTAATGATGGAATTGTCAAAATTGCTTATACATATTCAATTAGTTTTGAGGTTAGTACAGATACGTCTTTCCTCTTGTGGCAGGGAAATCAAATTATGAGTATGTGGTCACAACATATTTTAAGTGAAATAAGATGTTAACTCTGATTAAACTGTTTATTCATCCAAGGCATCAAACAGCATGGCAAACTAATCAGCTGTGATTTGATGGCTATACTCTGTTGGGGGTGCTCTATTGTTGGAAATCTTCCACAGATTGGACAGTCATTTGTCTGGGATGGCATAAAGTCTACTGATCTAGGCAGGGGGTTGGATACCTTCAAGGTCCCTTTCAGCCCTGTGATTCTATGTCTATGTCTATTTAGTCAGCAGGCTAAATAACAGTAGAATAGAGTTGAACCTTCCCCTGTCATATTTGGGTCCCCTTTTCACTTTCTCTAAGAGGGGGCAGTGGAGTTGGAACAGCCTCAGATGCTGGAATGGGAAAAAGTACAAGTTGGCTCCCATTCATTCTTGGATATCACATATCATGATCCACATAAGTTGCTGTAGAATAACTCATGAAAAGAAATCATGGTTACGGTGCTCAGCCATAATTAATTATGGTTTTGGTCCAGATAGTACACCAGCCTAGCCACATTATGACTTAGGAGACAATATATTTTAACCTTGAATTTTGTACATACTCTGTTTCTGTCTTAATTTATATACAGGTAATTCTCGATTTATGAGCACAATTGAGGCCAAAATGTCATTGCTAACTGAGATAGTCGTTAAATTTATTTATTTATTTATTTATTTATTTATTTATTTATTTATTTAATTAATTAATTAATTAATTAATTAATTAATTTTATTTCTATACCGCCCTTCTCCTGCGGGACTCAGGGCTGTGTACAGCCAAGATAAAACATTGCATATAAAATTTAAAAACAATTTAAAAAAAATTAAATAATTTCGGCCCAAGATTTAAAAACAACCCAATTAAAACCGAATTCAATTAAAACTGAGAGGATGGGATCAAGCCAAATGAGTTTTGCTCCATTTTACGACCTTTCTTGCCATGGTTGTTCAGTGACTCACTTAAGATGTTAAGTTAGTAACACAGTTGTCAAATGAATCTGGCTTCACCATTGACTTTGCTTGTCAGAAGGTTCCAAAAGGTGATCACATGACCCTGGGACAACCATCTATATAAATATAACCAGTTGCCAAGCATCTGAATTTTGATCACATGACCGTGGGAATCCTGCAGTGGTCATAAGTGTGAAAAACAGTCATAAGTACTTTTTTTCAGTGCTGTTGTAACTTCAAACAGTCACTAAACAAATGATTGTAAGTCGAGGACTACCTGTAGTTTATTTATGTGGTCACCAAACTCGCAAATTGTGATTCCAGATGCTAAGATTAGACTAAAATCAAAACCAACCAGCAATGTAAAATCAATAGAGAAAAAATACAAGGCATAAACATTTTAGCTGTTGCAAGCAGGCTCACCCAGTGAATTGGCTCAATAGCTGGAGGAAAAGTCTGATCTTCAAGACTATATAAAAGGCCAGCAGGATTAGAACATTCAACATCTCTAGGGTATTCTGCACTATGACACTTCCTGGGATTCTCCAAGTAAATAGTTTTATACAAGGGGCCCAGAGCACACCCATCCAGTCAAATCTTATGGGATGGGCAGAAATAGTAAGCAATACATGTGCCATGAAAGGCTTTATATATGGTAACCAGCACTTTGAATTGCAACTAAAAGCTTTCTAGGGGGTAGGCAGCTCACAAAGTAGTGGCGTGCCTATTAATTGGCTGCACTGCTGCATTCTCAGCTATTTGCAGCTTCCAATGATCTTCAAGAGCATCCCTGTGTAGAGCATTTTATAGTAGTCAAACCAGGCAGTGACCAAGATATGAATGACTGTGAGTAGGACTGCCTGATCCAGGATTAGTTTACAAGATGGATTTGTATAAATAAGGGAGATCAAACAGGAGAAGAGACGCCTGAAGGGCAGTGAATGGTGAATCTGATTAAGCGCCATTCATTCATTCACTCACTGGTGGCTCAGCAGACTAAAAAGCATTGTGATTAACACCAGCTGTCTGCAATTACTGTAAGTTCGAATCTCACCAGGCTCAAGGTTGACTCAGCCTTCCATCCTTTCTAAGGTAGGTTAAATGAGGACCCAGTTTGTGGGGGCAATAAGCTGACATTGTATAAATATACAAAAGTATGAAGGCTATTGCTTAACACATTGTAAGCCGTCCTGAGTCTCCGGAGAAGGGCGGCATATAAATCAAATTAAAAAAAATATTCATTCATTCATTCATCAGTTTGTTCATTCACTCAATCGATCTCTATGGCTGCCCATCTCAGAAATTAGAACCATAACCCTATTTTGTGATAATAAGTACAATAAAACCTCAATATTTTTCTGTCTTTGTGTCCTTGATACATCCACATTATATTTTGCTTTGCAAATTGTGCTGCTTCCAATGTACTTCTGGAACAATTTAAGATACTGGCTGTTATCTATAAAACCTTTTATGGCACCGGCTGGTCTGTTTAGAAATGGGTCTTTAATGGTTTGGACCAGCATGAATTCTGACAGAATTTTGGGAGTGACAAAGATTAAAACCTACTAGTAGGTAAAGTTTTTGAAATCCTGAAAAAAATGATTTTCATTTGTTCTTTTGCTATGTCCAATATTTTCTATTCTCTGAAAACCCAGAAATCTATTTCTAAAATTTTAAGATGGATAACTTATTTTTTCAGGAAAATAAGGAAATCAGGTGGGCATCCAGATGGGATTACATTTTAGAATCCATGTCCCACACGCACATACAGTGGTTCAGGTACGGCCTACTTTAATTTAGGTAATTTAAAAAAAAAATTATAATTCAAAACAATTTTATAGATAGATATAAAAATGAAGAATTCTAATAGCAGGTTGCCTTGTTTTCCAGTATAATGAATTCACTGGTGATTGTCCTTTTCCTCTCTGGAATGGTAGCTATGATTATGCTAAGAACTCTGCATAAGGACATTGCAAGATATAACCAAATGGATTCTACAGTAAGTATACAATTGTTTTGAAAAATTCCTTCCTTCCTTCCTTCCTTCCTTCCTTCCTTCCTTCCTTCCTTCCTTCCTTCCTTCCTTCCCTCCCTCCCTCCCTCCCTCCCTCCCTCCATCTCTTTGTGAGAAATTTTAAAGCAGCAAGGTCTCACATTGTATATTAGGTATTTAATTTATTTTCATAGCTGAAGGACAAATGACGACTTGTTGAAGTAATCCAAGTGGATGCAACCACATTTTTTTACAGGGACTACCAAGTGTTGTTGTTATTATTAGTTGCGAAGTTGAGTCCAACCCATCGCGACCCCATGGGCAACGTTCCTCCAGGCCTTCCTGTCTACCATCCTCTGGAGTCCATTTAAGCTCACGCCTATTGCTTCAGTGACTCCATCCAGCCATTTCATTCTCTGATGTTCCGTTCTTCTTTTGCCCTCAATCTTTCCCAGCATTAGGCTCTTCTCCAGTGAGTCAAAGTGTACAAAGTCTACAAAGTGTAGCATTAAATCAGATTAGTATTTTTTTCAGAGATGGGTGTCTGCTTTGGTGTGTAAGGCTTAAACAAAAGCTTTTTGTTTTTCTACCCCAAACACCAGGAAATTGCATTACTGTTTCTCAGTTATTTATTGTTGAAATTTAATGATGTGCTTTCTGAAAGCTGCAAAAAAGGGGCTTTAGGGTTAACCACCCTGATAGATTAGATGACATACAATAGCATGTTATACATTTAATACTCCTAATTAATAGTTCTAACATAATATGAGTGCTTTTTCCTCGGTGAGACTCTGTTCTTCATAAATATATTTGCAATCACACTGTTATGTGGACTATGTCCAATTAACTTCATTTTAGGTCAGCTCAGTTGTATAGAGGCAAATAATGTTGATTGTATTGTAGCTGTTCTCAAATTGCATAAATGCACTTGTTTAACAGTAAACTTTAGTAATAGAATTTTGTGTAATATTTAATTCTTAAAGAAAAATAGTAATACAGATTCTTCCGTGGGTGTGATTCAGTATCAAAACTTATTAATAGCAGATATTAATAGAGAATATATTGTTTGTTGCACCATCATCCCCTTCAGCTGTGAAAAAAAACACGGCAGGATGTGTCAGTTGGAAACATCTTTCTTCTCTCCTGTACCTTTTGGTTACTTTTTGTCATAGATATAATTTTTAAGAAATGAAATTAGTCATTTGAAGAACAATCTCCTTTTTTGCTATGCTTATTAAATAATATCTGAGAGTTAGTTTATGGTTATGTTGTGTCCACAATTTAGGGAAACTGGTGGGCCCATTTGAAAGGTTGAAATTCAACCACCATGGAGAATGTGACCAGTTTACCAGAAGACAAACTCAAATGAAGCTAACAATTTCCCAATTGTTAACGATTTCTGCTTGTAAGGAAATAGAAATGAGGTCTGGGCTCCGAAAATCAAATCTCATATTTGTGCATATATAAGCAGACATATTCCTAAATGAAACAGGTTTCTTGACTGTTGTTTGAGTATAAAACCAGATACAAATGGAATATTTAACAGTAAGAATGCAACCTGGATATACTCATAGAAGCGCATCTCCTCCCAAACACAAGCAAAAGTGTAAATCATGCATGCTGGAAACAAACAGTCTGTAATGGTATGTGGGAATGATTCTGGGAGACTGAAGAAATGTTGCCTAGTGAATGGTCAGATACGAGAGAGCATAGCCCAGCGGTCCCCAACCTTTGCAGCCCAGCAGAGGGGGGGGGAGGAGGGAACTGGGCCACGCAAGCAGCGGGCTGGTGCATGCACCCAGCTCTTGCGTGAGTGGTGGGCCAGCACACAGGTGCACAGCTTGACTTGAATGAGTGGCAGGCTGCCACACACAGGTGCAATTGCCTGCCAGCTAGCAAAGCAACTCAACACAAGTTGTGCATGCATGCAGATGTGCTCAGCTAACCACACATGCGGCCCAATTCCAAATGGGCATGGCTTGGTAGTGGGCCATGGCCTAGTGTTGGGAACCCCTGGCGTAGTCCACAGTTGTATAGTGGGTGAGTGGCTTAGAAGGGACCTCCCTAAGTTATTTGAGCTGCAAATGTGAGAGCAGGAGAATTGTACTTGATAGAATTGTACAAATCAGATTTCATATGCAAATCAGGAAATAGGAGAAAAAGTACATGGAATAGGATTCCTGTGTGGGCTGAAGAACATATTTGCAGATAAACAGAAGTCCACCATCCTTGGGCACCTCAAATTGTTTATTTATTGATTTGATTGATTGCTATAACCGCTCATCTCAACAAGTGACCCAGGGTGGCGTACATCATTAAAAATTGTGATTCTGGAATGAGGCCAAACACATGCTGAGTATCAGTGCTAGGGGAAAGTACAATGATTTGTGTCCCAGGTATAGCTATTTACTGTGGAAAGTCACATTCTTGCTTGTAGGACAAGTTGAAAATTTTTATCTTTACAGGTTAATAGAAAAGTCTGAGATTCATATATGATAGGTTTCTGATGCATGCTTTTGAATGCTTGGAGAAGCTTGTATTTCCCATCATTTTGGAAGATTATGTGAAATGATTAGGATGGTTTTATTTATAGCACTCATTGAATAAATTGAAACATTATTGAGACTGAATAAATAAAATATTGCATATCTGAAAAGGATAGATTAATAAAGTATAATAAATAACAGAGTTGGGAAACCTATAATTACATGAATCAGCCAGATCATTGTCATATCCTAATCTGATTATTTTCTTTTCAGGAAGATGCTCAGGAGGAATTTGGCTGGAAATTGGTTCACGGTGACATATTTAGACCCCCACGAAAAGGAATGCTGCTTTCTGTCTTTCTGGGTTCTGGAACTCAGATTTTAATTATGACATTTGTTACATTATGTAAGTGCAGTATGAATACTGTTAAAATATAGATTCATTTCCGAAATCTAAACTTTTTAAGCAGGATTTCAAGAATGCTCTCTGCTCTTAAGCTCTTCTTTCTCCTTGAAAGTAGACGTTTTCTACTATCACCCTTCCACCAATTTTAAAAACAACTACATTTAGAACTGTAAAAAAAAAAATTATGTCATCTTTTTCCCCAAATAATTGCTTTCAACTAATTTGCAAAGCTAGCAATCTCTCTTTGGTGCTAAGGATTACTAGTAACACTCCTTGTGCCACGAAAGACCTGGTCTTGTGCAGAAGGCCGGGGTGGGGGAATTGTAGGTGCTTCCATATATTTGCTAATATCTAGAAACCGGGTCCCTCTGTCTCTTATTCCTAAATTTTATACAAGTCAGCTAATCATTGTGAGAATATAACAAAACCCTTTTAAAATAGTTAACTTGCGTGCCACCCATCTTGCCTTTTTTCCTTGCCATCTCTCCTCCCTTTTTTTTTCTTGATATGTATTCTAAGCTGTAGTCACAGAAGCAATGTTTCTTAACATGGACATCTTTTAAATTTAAATTGCTGTGCCAGGTAGTTGCCAGGGTTAAAAAAATAACACTGTTTTATGGACTGATTATCTTTCTGGGAGGTTTTTAGCTGTAGATCTGGAAAAAATACTGTTTTACAAATGGTTCCATTATGTGCAGCCATTCTGCCCAGTAGGTGTGGTTCAGGAAACTGGGCTGAATATTCCAATTTTAATCACCTTTCAAATGTGTGTCTACTTTTAACAGTTTTTGCTTGTCTGGGATTTTTATCCCCTGCAAATCGAGGTGCATTAATGACTTGTGCCGTGGTCTTGTGGGTGCTTCTTGGAACTCCGGCAGGTTATGTTGCTGCCAGGTTCTACAAATGTAAGTTTAAAACTTTATTTAATCTGACAGCGCTTAAATTCATTAATATAAATTATCATCACAGCAGCAGCGTTTTCTTCTCTAATGTTTGCCTTCTGGCAAGATAGAGAAATGTTTAAGACTGAAGGCTGTATGCCACTTTACATCGTTCTACTAGCAAACTTTCAGGTTGGCTGGTTATTTTGTAGAAATTCTCTGTCAGTTGTTCTCATTTTGATGTATTTGAAAGGAAGGGAAAGCTGTGGAAAGTGACCACTATTAGGTATGAAAATGAAGTTGTTGATGGTTTTTGAAGTTGCACTATGTTTGACATGCGATGCTTACATTGTTCTGTTGTTTTCTTTAGTGTGGTGTCACTTGAAAAGAAGCAAAATACCATATTCACTTTATACTTTATGACACTCTGCTGAGGTTCTTGATCAGTGATTATTTTTATTTTAGTAGATACGCTATGGAAGGAGTACATTGTGCTTGTAAGCCATTTTATTGAAAACAGTTGAGACTGAATTTCACTATCCACAAATAAAAAATTAAGAGTTATTTAAATTATTTATTTATTCATTCATTCAATTTCTATAGCTGCCCAACACAACCAAGTGACTTTGAGTGGCTTACAATTATAAAATTATAAAACAATAAAAACATCCATAAAATAAATAAGTACAAACAGCAGCTGTGATGATTAACCAACTAACAGAAATAAAGTTTAATAATTTTAAGTAGAAATATTAAATACTGGATGTGATGTTGAAATTTTCTTCTTTCTCTTTCTTGCTATGTTATAAGATGGGCTTTAAAATATAATTTTCTCTGGCAAGTAAATTAGCCCTTTGAATTGCTAAAATTGGAGAATAGGATAAGAAAATGATTCTTTCCTTAAAGTCATAATAATTCAATTTTTGCCTAACGTATTCAAATGTATTTGAGCATACCTCCAAACTACGTTTAACTGGTATTTTTCCTTGTTGGCTTCATTTTTGTATAGCTTTTGGGGGAGAGAAATGGAAGACAAACGTTCTCCTAACAGCTTTCCTTTGCCCTGGGTAAGCAAATGCCTATCATTAATGTTAAATTATACATAAAATAAGCTCACCTTAAATGTGTCAGTCCTCAAAAACATAAACAATATATCTGCATATCATAATACACCAGAGCTGTGTATATATATATATTTTTCTAAAAAAGTCTTGTTTAATTTGTACCAGGGAAATGATTTAACAATATCAACCTGGAGAAATACTTTATAAGACAATCTTGTTCCTCACTGACCCTTGGTTCTACTCCTTAGGCTGCTTTTCAGATCTCAGGATAGTTGGCCTTATGTGTTGTCATACACTATACAGCTCCTGTATTCCATCTTTTGGCTTAATCACAGCAAGCAGTTGTCCCCTGAAGTGCAGAGATGACAGACAGACATTTGAAGCTATTTAGCTGAAATGTCAACTCCTGCTGGAGTTCAGTTCTATTCCATTAAGAGAAGTAGACTTCCTTGACCTATTTGCCTGATCTGTTCTGCCTGTGAATGTGGCTTAACATTACATTAGACAAACTGTAATATGATTTCGGTAACATAGAACATCAGCTTTAAAATCTTCTCTCTTTTAGCATTGTGTTTGCAGATTTCTTCATCATGAATCTCATTCTTTGGGGAGAAGGGTCCTCAGCCGCCATTCCATTTGGCACTTTGGTTGCTGTTCTGGCACTTTGGTTTTGCATATCAGTACCACTGACTTTCATTGGGGCTTACTTTGGTTTTACAAAGAATGTAAGTGGCTTTACCCGAGTACATTTTGTATCTTTGACTTGTTTGCAAATTAAGTGCTGAGCCTCATCTCTCAAGAACATGTTGCCTCTAAATGAAAGGCTTTAATATATAATAGACACACACACACACACACACACACACCAGTACATACACACACACACACACACACATATACACACACGTGTGTATGTGTGTGTATGCAGGGTTTCTTCAGGACTGATCTCACCTCAATGGGACTAAGTCTAGCCAATTGTTCCAGCGGAAGAGGCCTACTTTACATCCTTTCTGCCAAAGAATTTGGGCTGGCAATATCCAGGAAAAGAGCCTTTTCTACTGTTGCCTCGGCCCCTGGAATATTCTCCCACTGGAGGTGAGGTCCACTCCCACACTTCTGGCCTTCTAGAAGAGCCTGAAAACGTGGCTCTGCTACATGGCCTGGACCCTGACACGGGTGTGTTATGTTGAGGGTGGCTGACAGGGTAGAGAAGATCCCCACGCTCAGACCACCCATTGTCTTGCTTTTAAGTTTCCTATTTATCTGTCACCCAGAGCCACTGAATCAGTGAGATTGGTGGCATAAAAAATTAATAAAATAAATAAATATAAAGCATGATCAGATTTCTGTGACAGATACTTAGATTTCACTTGACAAGGCTATTTTGAACATGATCAATTTTATTACATAAATTGTGTTGGAATTCTGGTTTCAATTTACTTTCTATTGTATTTTGAATGTATACAATTGTAACTAGCTTTAAACAGATTGTTGCTCTAGATCAGGGTTGTCAAACTCCTGGCCCGATGTGTCGTGTGCTGGCACGCCCACACCTGGTTTAGCGAAGGGGGGGGAAAGTCCCAATACATCACGTGATGCCGCTGTGATAACGTGTTCTGCCCCAGCTACGGATCCCAAAGAACACAGCACACACAAACTCTGAACAAAACTTAGTTTACTCAAATAATACAGTTTTAGCAAATGCCGGCTGTTATTAAGCATTCTTAGCAGCCTGCCAGAATTCCACAGATAAGATAGTCAGAGTCTTACTGGAGTTGGCAGAAAGCCCAGAAGCAAAGTTGCAGAGAAATCCCAACGCGATGATTAGCGAACTAAAGTTGTTTCTTGCAGCTTGTTGCAAGCTGTGTTCTTTCTCAAGTAGGCTAAGGGAGTGGCCAATTAGCCTCAAGCCTTACTCTCGAGGAGACCTCCTCCTGAGAAACCACTCCTGCCTTTTGGCAGCTCTGCGTGCCTGTGCATTGAGAAGAGGCTCCTCCTCTTCATCCTCTTCACTTAAAGGAGCCTCTGGAGGTTCTGAAGGCCCTGACTGAATCCCTGCCTCTGGCACATATCTTCTTCAGCCTCCTCACTGTCTGACTCGAGTGCCAGCTGCACAGGCTGCTGGCGTAGCACCACACCAGCCTCCTCGTCGTCAGGATCAGCAACAATCCGCGCAGGCCACTGGCGGGCCACAACATAACATGAGTTTGACACCCCTGCTCTAAGATCAATCTTTCTCAAGCTTAATGATTTGAAAATGAATGAACTTCAACTTCCAGAATTCCCCAGCCAGCATACTAGTTGGAGATTTCTGGCAGTTGAACTCCACATATCTTCAAACTGTTGAGGCTGAGAAACATTACTTTAGATTGTGTGAAATACAGCTGAAATTATTGAGAACCAATTCCTCCCCCCCCCCTTTTTTTTTTAATACCTCTAAAGGCCATAGAACATCCAGTCCGTACGAATCAGATTCCTCGCCAGATTCCAGAACAATCATTTTATACAAAACCACTTCCTGGGATTGTTATGGGAGGCATTCTGCCCTTTGGATGCATCTTCATTCAGCTTTTTTTCATTCTTAATAGCATATGGTGAGTTTTGAATACATTGTAGTGCATAACTATTTTTTTGTTTGTTTTAGGTTTGCACCTCTCTCTTGCATTTTTCTGTCGGGTCTGGTGGGCAAAGAAAACTGTTGTGAACATGTTACTCATACAGATATGTTTGCTATATAGTGATAACTTAAAGGACCGATTCATATAAAAGAATCTGTTGGAGACCCTGAATGTTACAATACACCTGGTTCCCAGTGGTTTGAATGTTCTGATGTGATGCAAATCTAACTTATCTGAGTGTTTTTATATTTGTGCATTTTAAAATTCATAGACGTTTACTTAATTTACAAATCAGTGCCATTTTAATGGATGCAGATAATTAGAGCAGCGGTAGATGATCTTCCTAGAACCGAATAAATGAGGCTTATTCCTTGTTTTTGCAGCACTTTAAATAGAATGGCATTGTAGGAATTAGTATAAACTGATTTTCTTATGAATTGCCCATCAGCTATGGTCTTAGTCAGAACCACCATCACAGGATCAAGTGCTATCAGTGGTGGCGCAGTGGTTAGAATGCAGTACTGCAGGCTATTTCTGCTGACTGCCAGCTGCCAGCAGTTCAATAGTTTGATTCCCACTGGCTCAAGGTTGACTCAGCCTTCCATCCTTCCGAGGTTGGTAAAATGAGGACCCAGTGAAGCAGTATATAAGTCTTAAGTGCTATTGCTATTGCTATCGCTATCAACATTTGATGAATGTTGATACGTTTAACTACACATACCCCAAAACAATGCATGTTACTTTATTAAAACAATCTAGAAAAACTTATTCTAAGGCTTTAAGGTCTCTGCAGGATGATGTTCTGCCTTCTTCTAAACAGAAAAAGAAATAAATTGGTGTCTTTGAATCTTTGTCCAGTAACTGTTTAGACAAGTGTTTTTGTTTTTTTTGAAATGGTTTGCTATTGCTTGCTTCCTAAGGCTGAAAGAGAATGTCTGGCCTAAAGTCACCCAGCTGGCTTTGTGCCTAGAGTAGGATTAGACCTTATGATCCCCAGTTTCTAGTTCAGTTTAACCATGAAATAGTTACAATGATCATGGGGAAGATTCTTCCAGTCAGAATCCCTAGACCAGTAAATTGCAAGTGAGTTTCAAAAAGTGCTTATATAATCAGAAACAACCTGTTGAAATGCTTTTCACCCAACAGCAGGTGTCCATAATATATATAATAAATTTATATATTTACAAGGCTATAACTAATATCAGTCCCCACCCCTTGTTGCATAATATCATTTATTATTAGTTTGATTTATATGCCGCCCTTCTCCGGAGACTCAGGGCGGCTTACAATGCATTAAGCAATAGCCTTCATACTTTTGTATATACCTGCTTAGTAGGGCTTTTTTGGGCCCCCCCAAGCGATGTTCTATTTTATACAAAGTCAGCTTATTGCCCCCACAAACCGGGCCCTCATTTTACCTTCCTTGGATGGAAGGCTGAGTCAACCTTGAGCCTGGTGAGAATTGAACTCGCAGTAATTGCAGGCAGCTGGCAGCTAAATGCTACTTTTAACAGTAGTTTAGTCTGCTGCGCCACCAAGGCTCCTATCATGATGTAACGATATTCTAATCAGTTTGAAATAATAATGGATGTGATTATAACTTTGAACATACAGGGAAATAAGTGAACCAGTTTGACAAACAGAACTTGTTCACCCAAAGTAGATACTGGAATGTTTCATATCCACAAGAAAGAGAAAACATTGGGGCATAGGTATACCCCAAAGAGGTAAAATGTAAGAAAGATAAATGAAAATCAAAAGAAATACGGAATAAAACAAAAAGTTACTGTTAGTTGGATAAAATATCATGTAGCATGTAAATCTAATAAAGCAAAGCATGATTGAAAGTCCAAGCTTTACAGATGGAAACTGGGAAAAATGGCAAAGCTCCCAAGCAGAAAGAGCACGTGGCTACTCTTTGTGAGGCCTGTATACCTTAATGGTTAGGCTTGTGGGTTGCTAGCCACAAGAGATAAAGGAAAAACTATACTTCGACCAACCACTTAAATCAGCATAGCTCAAAAAGAACAGAGAAAGCAAACACAAGACACCAGAAACAAGAATGACAGCATTCTGTAGAATCAAATGTGATAATATTGTACAAACAACAACAACAACAAAGGCAAGTCAGCTAAGGAACTGAATACAAAGCAAAGTCAAAGCTATAACAGATTAAACAACAACCAGATCACCTGGATGAAACTCCTGTTATCTCATCAGGAGAGGCCAAAAGCAAAGTCACATTCATCAGGAAGTTCAGATGTCAAAGGCCAAGAGCCTGCTTGTCACAGTATGGATCCTATTTAATTTAAACTTCTGTTTTCCAGGTCTCATCAGATGTATTACATGTTTGGCTTCTTGTTTCTGGTGTTCATTATTTTGGTTATTACATGTTCTGAAGCTACTATTCTACTTTGCTATTTCCATTTATGTGCAGAGGTAAGTTTCCCAAATAGGTTGTCACAAGGTAATCTATGTTTTGCTGTGTTTAATTAAAATAAGATAAGAAAAGAGGATGCATTTTCTACTGACTGTCTCCCAGAAGGAGAATTTAAAGACTTACCATAGGGACAGTGTTGTGGGGCTAGAAAAAAATAACAAGGATTTATTTATTTATTTATTTATTTATTTATTTATTTATTTATTTATTTATTTATTTATTTATTGGATTTGTATGCCACCCTTCTCCCAAAGGACTTAGGGCAGCTCACACCAATAAGAAACAGAAAATACAAAAGTTAAAAGACAAATTAAAGCAGAATATCCAATAAATAGGATTAAACGTTGGAATACAAATTCAAATTTAAGATTTAAGAATTTTAAAAGCTACAAAATCAGTTTAGAGATGGGGGGAAGGGAAAAATATTTCCCAAGTACCAAGAAGTTTGTTCTTAGCAGCTGGGAAAAATATCTGCAGAATGAATGCTTAATCACTGAACTTGAATACTATATTCCACGGATATAAAAGAATAGTTTTAGTTTGGCTTTGTTCAAATATCCTAAACCAGATTTTATTACGGCTTGGTGAGATTAATACAATCTGGTTTGCACATAACACTAAAACACTCCTAGATTCACATATCAAACCAGAAACAAACCACATTAGATTTGTAAACCAGATTTAGATTTGTGTATGAACCATACCTTTTATGATCTTACTAGAACAGAAGAACAGAGAATCAGAAATTGTCTGTCATAGTTGAAACTGTTTAATAAACAACATCCAAGATATATTTTGTTTTGTTTTGCCAATTAAACCAAGAACCCCAAATACAGATTAGCAAAGTATTATATAGAAGAGGATATATTCTCAATCATGGATTACAGTTTCACAGGCAGGAAAAGCCTCTAACTCTATGTCATGAATAATCACTCATTCTTGCTTTCATCTCTGATCAACATTCCTTCACTGTTATAGAAGTATTCTAAAATGTTCACCCCTTTAATGCTACATTTAGCTATAACTGAGAACGTGTCTTAACACGATAATTGCAGATGGTGGTGTCCTCTTAAACCTCTTAAAAAGTTCTAAAAAGAGGCATGTTCAGCATAACATGAAATGGAATGTGATATATAAAATAGATTTAACTGCACCCGAGAGCTCTGTATTTTTAGAAGCATTTCTAACCTGTTTCCCTCTTTATTGTAGGACTACCACTGGCAGTGGCGCTCCTTTCTTACGAGTGGTTTTACTGCTGTTTATTTTCTAATATATGCAGTGCATTACTTCTTTTCTAAGCTTCAGATTACGGGTACAGCAAGCACCATTTTGTACTTTGGCTACACCATGATAATGGTCCTGATCTTCTTCCTTTTTACAGGTAATGTTGCTTGATATACAAAATGCCTGCAGAAACACTAAACTGGTAACTAATTTGAAACGAAGGACGTGATGAAGCCAGACACTGTGTATCAAACATTTTTATTTCATTTAAAGCCCTATATGTAATCTAGAAATTCTGCATACTTGTGCTGGGGATCACATCTTCTGAAATCAGGCCAGGGATAAATTAGTATTTATGCTTTTAAGTTTAGATTCTCAAGATTTTTAATTTGGCTGTCAAATAGCCACTTTTCATTTTTGTTCTTGTTTTACAGTCTGGGCTGTATCACACAATACATGTAATAGCTGTCATGTCTAAAGTTATGAAATATTTTAAATAATTTTTGTTCCATTAAAGAAGAACCCCTAAAAACACAATAGCTTGATAATTTCTGTGTGGGAATGGTTCCTCAAATCTCCTGCAATACAGGTAGTCCTCGAATTACGACCCCAGTTGAGCCCAACATTTCTGTTGCTAAACAAAACATTTGTTAAGTGATTTCCTCCCCCCTCCCCCATTTTACGACCTTTCTTGCAACAGTTAAGTAAATCACTGCAGTTGTTAAGTTACTAATACAGTTAAGTGAATCTGGCTTCCCCAATGACTTTCCTTAAAAGAAGGTCACAAAAGGGAATCACATGACTCCAGGATCCTACAACCGTCATAAGCGAGTGAGTTGCCAAGTGGCCGAATTTTGATCACATGACCATGGAGATCCTCAAATGGTTGTAAATGTGAAAAAGTCATAACTATTTTTAGTGCCATTGTAACTTTGAACAGTCGCTAAATGAACTGTTGTAAGTTGAGGACTACCTGTAGTGTTAGGATATCTTCCATTGTAGTTAATATGCTTTAGTGTTCATACCTTGACTTGCTTCTGTACTGTATTGCATCTGCTCTGTTAGTTGCTATGTGCAGGCAATTCTTGAAAGGTAAGTTAATGCTATCTCTTTAACTTTTGACTTGGTAAATGTAAATTCCTTTTCTCTTACAGTGTAGCATACTCCCAAACTTTATTTTTAGAGTTACGAATATTTGAAAGTAAACTGATAATATGTCCTGTATTTAAATGGATACACACTGCTTTGCAAAAGGCATTATTAAAATGTAATTTTGCCAGGCGAATGTAATAATACTTAGAAGTGTAAAAGAAGCTAATTTGACTCCCTTAGAAGGGGGAAAAAAATCTTTTTTTCAGATTTTATGTTGGGTCTTTGCTCAAGCTAAGGGTATCTGTAGAGTATGGTAAACTAAAAAGTCAAGATGGCAATATGGTGGTGTGATTGAAGCTTTGCCTGTTTTCTATGGGTGATGCACATAATAAATGGGCCAAATTTTGATTACATTATGGGGTTGCTTTTTGCCTCTTTCGATTACACCTGTGGACACCTTTTTGCTTTTGTACCACAAGAGACTTGGCAACAGTGAATCTTCTGCTATTTCACCATACTGAATTAAATACCAATTCATATAATGGAATTTTTGCTCCCACAACCCACCTGCAATTGTTCATGAGGAAAAAAGGTTGTATATCAAAAAGCTCATCATAAATTTCACAAGGCTAAAATGAAACATCCTAGGATATTCAGTCCTAGAGGCATTTTAAGTTCCTGTCAAGTTGATATAAAAGCCAAACCGAGGACCTCCTAATTGCTGTATCCAAATGATTATATTGCTGCTTACTCATCTGTTTAAAATGGTCAGCCTCAAGAAGGGTTTTGATGGTGCCCTGCTGTCACTGCAGTAGAGCACATGCTTGGGGCATTTGCTTCTCATATGGCATTCTGGGTCATTGATCTGACACAGCAAGCAAGTTGCTGGAAGCTACGCGACAAATCCGATTCACAGCTAGGTCCACAACTGTGTCTTTGACATAGTAAATGAATCTGTTCAACATCAGTGGCTGAGCTAATATGAAAAAAAAAAAATCAATGCGATATCATTCAGTTTTTGCTGAAATATTTATAATGCGTAAAACTATTGTGAATTTTCAAACCCTCCAAACTGCCGTTAAACGTATATGACATATGAGGCCTTTCAGGAACAAAAGGAAATGGTGCTTGTCCTTAATCATCTTATTCTGAAATTAATAATTTACTCATTACTCTCTGCTATATGAAACAGGATTTAGAATTTGTACATATTCTGTGAAGGAGATCTGAAATGCACAGAAATGTATATTGGCATCTTTTAACTATTTAGCAGCTTGTATTTCAAAGAGTTGTTTGATACTTTAAACCAGTAGTAGTTTACCTGAGCAGCTGGTTATTTTTTCAACCATGAACAGCTATCAAATGTTGTTTCTCTCTAGAATAGCTTTTTGTTTCAAGAACTGGTCAGTGATATGCATTATAGTATAGAAGTATATATCAGCCAAAAATTGTGAAATCAGGAACCAAACCATGCATATATTTATCCACAATTCTTTTAAAAGCCAGGACCATCTCTTTGCCTCTTTTCCAAATCTCATTTTCTCTGCAGAGATGATCTTATTTCATTAGGGTTATTCCCAGTGGTGGGATTCAGCCAGTTTGCACCACTTCGGGAGACCCGGTTGTTAACTTTCTGAGCAGTTTGGCAAACTGGTTGTTGGAAGAAATCATTAGGGCAGAGAACCGGTTGTTAAATTACTTGAATCCCACCACTGGTTTTTGTACTGACTCAGGTTTCTGCTTCCAGAGATGAAATAGTTCTATTTTTGTATGTTACCTTTTTTTTTCAGGCAAGCTGACTCTAAGCAAGGCCGTTCCACCCTTCTGAGTGTTTGGGCTAGCTTTTCTGTGGTGCCTTACCAATTTTACAGAATTTTGCCACAGCAACATAAATTTTCTTTCATTTTTTTTGAATACATGACAAAAATGGTTTCTTCCCAAATTCAGTGGGTGCTGATACTTTAAAACAGTAACCAAGGACACATTGGATGCAAGCGCCTGTAAATTTAGGAGATCTTAATTCTGAAGAAATAGGGATAGGTTGACACTTTGGGGTGTGGTTATGACAACAACTATAAATTGCACTTTCCAACTTCAAAAGTTAAAATGTAAGAAGGTAGCTTTAGTAAAGATAAATCAGGACCCGAGAATAAAGCTGCCAAGTTACAAGAATATTTACAAAAGAAAGTATGATGCTTCTAACTAACAATAAGAGATGCAATTTAATATTTCAGGCTATAAATAATATGAAAACCTGCCTATAGATAGCTTTTTTTTCTTTTTACTATTTTCTCTTTTTTCCTCTTGTTCTGTTAAATGAACATTTTTTTAAAAAAGAGTGGAAAAAGGATTGTTTTCATGCTCAGGCAGAAGAATGTATGGAAAGCTGAGGGTACATATTCAGTTTTCTAATCTATACATGGAAATGCACCACAGAAAGAAGAAAAGTCATTAATGCACATTCCTATCTAAATGGTTATTTTTTTCCAAAGCAAAAATCCCTGTGCTATCTTTACCTCATCCTCCTCCAGATGTGGGGAGAGGTTTAACTTTAATGACAGATGGTCTGCATTCTTGCTCCACAAAACTTCCTCTTTCAGGAAATGCAGATAGAGCTCAGTTTATATGGCAGGGGTGTTAAACTCATGGCCCGCAGACCGGTTGCATCATGTGCTCCGCCCGGTTTAGCAAAGGGGGAAAAAGTCCTGATATGTCACATGACACCGCAAGTTTGACACCTCTGCTATATGGCAAGCAAGCTGTCTTTGGCACTGTGCCAATTTAATGTTGTGGCTCTAAATATAAATGATTCCTGAAAAAGTAATCACGATGTACTGTAAGAGAGAAAGCATTAAAATAGACACGCTAATGTGCAAAATTATAGATTTTTGTGGCCTATTTTATTAGTGTAAGATGACCAGGTATGAATATTGATGCAGTTTTTTGTTTATTTACAGGAACAATTGGATTTTTCGCTTGCTTTTGGTTTGTGACCAAGATATACAGTGTGGTAAAAGTTGATTGAAGATACTCAATGCAGACACTATCAAACTAATTTAAGTACATGATTTTGGAAAAGAATGTAAGCTTTATCGAAAGTACTTAGTACTTTCTGAATGATAAATATACATTTTCTCTCATTCAAATATTTGTATTGTAATTTTGCAATCTGTTTTCACTTCGTATTCTTAATGAAGACTGAATATAAATGTATGCATTTGTAAATATTGTTATATTGGGACTTTTAAATTCTAATGACTGGTTATAAGTGCTGCTTTGCAGGATTTAATAATTCTTCTGAAAGAATAGTTGTAAATAAAGTTTTCTAGGTTTGCTGAATGGGATTGATTATTTTTTCAAAGTAAAGAACTTATTTCTATCATGCTTCTGAAGGTTGACTCAGTGTATTGCTTGTAGTTTGAATGTTTTTGTTTCATATGAAGCCATGGCCATAAATCCATCTCCCCCCCCCCCCTGATTCTGTTTGGTTCTAGTGGTGTTGGCCTTTGAGATTCTGTGCCTCCTAAATTATGCAACCTAAACAATTCATAATAAATGAGCTATGTTCAGTTGATTATTACCCATTATAAATAAATAAATAAAATCCTGTAAATAGAAATATATTGATAAGTTTTAAATATGTAGATTGGGTTATGTTTTTTGAGTAAATCATGCTACATAAATGTAATATTCATGCACTACTTAAAAATGACATTTCATAACTATACTATAGTCTCTCTCTTAATCCACTACATAACTAAATTAAGAGTGGATAATATGATGGAAAAATCTGCAAGATGTATTACCAATTGTGTTCCCTGCAGATTTTAATGATACATATTATGCAGAATGGACTATGGATTTTTTTTAAAAAATAGAACTTTGCTTCAATTAAAGAAGTAAATTTGTTAGATGAATTAAAATTAATCCACTTGCATCTCTGAAAATTGCAGTGGAAACTTGTTTACTGTGTTGAGTTGTCTGAGTTGAGCAATTTACCTGTTAATAATCTCTGCATGTTTTCTAGAAGAGCACACCTGTTGCCATGTAATTGCATGTTTCAACAGATCACTCTAAGTTTTTTTTTCTAGTATTTCTAAAGAGTATAAACTGATGTGTGAATATTAAAATCCAATAAAATATCTTTTGTTAATAACCTGAATTTTTAATTTGGTCCTGTAAGCTTCCATTTACACAAATGTTCAATCCAGAATACCTTACAGATTTTAACAAGCCATGCCAACGTTCCTCAGATTTTTTAACAGCCAGTCTAAATATTTGCTAAATAATTGTTATTGCAGCTTGGGTCCTCTTTTAGTAAAATTATTTGTGTAGTTATACCAGGGCTGGATGTTGGTTTTAGCTGCTATAAAAGTGAAGCAGCATCCTTGATTGAGAATGCTAGCATAAAGTATCTGGCTTAAAGAATTCCTTTAATATATTCAAATTTGTATGTCAGGTTTCCGTGGAGTCAGAGAATAATTTTAAATGGAAGACTCCTCTGGCAGAATAGATCTCTTGACTACAGGTAGTCCTTGATTTACAACAGTTCATTTAGTGACCATTTAAATTTACAATGGCATTGAAAAAAGTGATATGACCATTTTTCAGTTACAACTGTTGCAACATCTCGATGGTCACATGATCAAAATACACATGCTTGGCAATTGACTCACATTTATGACGGTTGCAGTGTCCTTGGTCATGTGACAAGCAAAGTCAATGAGGAAGCCAGATTCACTTAACTGCGTTACTAACTTAATAACTACAGCAATTCACTTAACAAATGTGGCAAGATCGTAAAATGGGGCAAAATTCACTTAGTCTCACTTAGCAACAAAAAATTTGGGCTCAATTATGGTCGTAAGTTGAGGACTACCTGTGCTTGTTTTTTGTTTTGATTTTTTTTTTTTTTGCTTACCCTCCCTCAAACTCTTTATATGAATGAGTGAGTGAAGCAAAGGGAAATGCAGGAAGCTATTGTAGTTTGAGGGCCTTGAATAAGGGAAGGTCCTTTTATATTTATGCAGGACTGAAGACATTTCTTTCATTTCTCAAGGAGGCTTCCAGTAAAAATGCTATGCAGGAGAAAAAAAAGAGACATGCAAAGCATCTCTATCAAGCACGAAGTGCCTCAGTTTGAATTTCAAGTAGGCTGTTCCAGCCGTGTTGAAAGCATGCAAATTTTGAAACAGGGCCGATCTTGTATCTTAAAAAGCAGCAGTTCTCAACCAGGAGTTATGGTTCCTTGTGTACTCTAGAATATTTCAAGAGGATAGCAGGTGAAATGTGGGCCCTAGCATGTGCTAGGAAGCCACAGAAAAGTCGTCTTCTTGTTGTGCCATATCCGTCATTGGAGGTTGGCGATCATGTTGGCAATCCTATTTTTGTCAACAGCCGCATGAAAAAGTGCTGCTGAGTTTTGTCCAAACCAGTCCCTTAGGTTTTGAAACCATGATGTTCTTCTTCTGCCTGGACCTCATTTGCCTTCAATCTTTCCCTGGAGGATTAAGTGAAGGATGCCGTATTTTTCTGGGTGTTGCAACACATGTCCAAAATATTTTAACTTTCGCTTTTTAATGGCTGATGATTTCCCTTTGCTTTCTCAGGTGGCTTATTACCTCATTTGTGATTTTGTCAACCCAGTTTATACGTAACAGCCGTCTGTAAATCCACATTTCAAATGCTTCTAGTTTCTTCAAGTGGTTTTCTCTCAGAGACCAACTCATTACTCTGTAGAGCAGGATAGAAAAGATGTCTTAAAAGATAGAAAATCTGACAAGCCTGATTTTCACTCTTAGGCTTATGTCGTGACTGCAGAAGACCTTTTTCATTTTGAAGAATGCTGTTCGAGCTTTCTCTATCCTTGTCTTTACTTCACTGATCATGTCCCAGCTGAAAAGAAGTATACTGCATTGCAAAAAAGAGCCTGGTGGCGCAGCAGACTAATAGCCTGTTATTATCATTCAGCTGCCTGCAATTACTGCAGGTTCGAATCTCGCCAGGCTCAAGGTTGACTCAGCCTTCCATCCTTTCTAAGGTGGGTAAATTGAGGAGCCAGTTTGTGGGGGCAATAAGCTGACTTTGTATAAATATACAAAAGTATGAAGGCTATTGCTTAATGCATTGTAAGCCGCCCTGAGTCTCCGGAGAAGGGCGGCATATAAATCAAATCAAAATACTATTTTGCCAATACCAGATAACGCACTAGTTACTGTTCTATATCTGTATCTGGTAATGGAACCTACAGATGGGCCACAGGAGAAAAACAAGTTTGGAAGAGCAGCATGGGCAAAAAAACTTGAACGCTGTACAGGTAGTCCTTGACTTACAACAGTTTGTTTAGTGACCATTCAAAGTTACAACAGCACTGAAAAAAGTGACTTATGACTATTTTTCACACTTATGACCATTGCAGCATCCCCACGGTCACATGATCAAAATTTAGGTGCTTGGCAACTGGTTCATATTTACGACGGTTGCGGTGTCCTGGAGTAATGTGATCCCCTTTTGTGACCTTCTGACAAGGAAAGTCAATGGTGAAGCCAGATTCACTTAACCACCAAATTACTAACTTAGCAATTGCAGTGATTCACTTAAAAACTGTGGCAAGAAAGGTCGTAAAATCAGGCAAAACTTACTTAACAAATGTGTCACTTAACAACAGAAATTTTGGGCTCAATTGTAGTCTTAAGTCGAGAACTACCTGTATTATATCATATGGCAAGGGAGATGGAAATGAAGGAAAATACTTGAAAACCTTATTCTAAAGGAACTTGTTTCATTTTAAAGAATTTGTACTCTTCCTGATAAAATACAAAAAATATTTGATGAAAAAATGTACGTTTTTCGGATCTGAAAGAAAAATAGTTCTTTCCGTTTATCATTTGGTAGACATGTTAGAAATTTATAAAATTTATATAACTGCCCATTTCAATACTTGCCATTCACAACAGCTTACAAAGTTAACAGCAAAAACAATACAAAAACCAAAATAAGCGCCATCAAAACAATAACAACTATTAAAAAACCATAAAACCTGCTGACATTTCTTTCCTAACATGCAATCAATTTGCAGGCTTTCCACCAACCTCACCAGATCTCCAAGGTAAGATAGCAAGACCACATCTTCAAGTGCCAACAAAGCCAACATGGTTAATGCCAGTCTACCCTGGAGTGGGTGGGAATGTTGTTACAAAAAGCAGGCACTGCAGCAGGAAAAACTGGATGTTAGGAGCAGAGAGAGTATTTAAAGTCTGTGGCACCCTACATAGTAGGGACTCAGGGTGGGATCTCTCCTGTCTTAACACCAACTGGAACTGGTCACAAATCAATTTAAGATAGGGCTGATATTGTAAAGGATGTGGATTTGTTTAGCTATAAATTGTAATAGTATGTGGGAGTAACCTTGGGAGTTTCTGCCAAGGGAATAGTTAAGTGGCAGAATAGCTTAAAGGCAGATAGTGGGTCTAAGCAGTGGTGGGATTCAGCCAGTTTGCACCACTTTGGGAGAACCGGTTGTTAACTTTCTGAGCAGTTTGGTGAACTGGTTGTTGAAAGAAATCATTAGGGCAGAGAACTGATTGTTAAATTACTTGAATCCCACCACTGGGTCTAAGGTTGTAAAAGGGAGGGAACTGAACTTTTGTCTCATAAGATTTTGCCACTTTAGCTTTACAATGAAGTTGTACAATTAGTTGATCTGGTTGTGTTTCTTATCTGGAATGCTCTGCAAGGCCAACAAACATTTTCCACACAATTTAGTGACATCTGCTTTTGAACCATCAAGTTTAGGAATTACCAAATCCTTAAATATCTGTTAACCTACAAGAATGTCCTTCGCTCAATATCTTAGTTAAGATTTAATGGCAGATTTCCTACTCTCCCTGCAATCATGATTATGGGATAAGGCTGCTACCTTTATGGCTAGTTTGCACACTGGTAAACTGGGGCTTAAATGCTTTGGATGAATGCCATAGTGTGGTCAGTGAACAGTTCCAGGCACGAGTTAATTCAGTCAACCACAATATGAGATGAGTTTCTGCAAATGCAACCTGCGGGATTAAGGCATCAGATTAGATCGTGAGTTCTAATCCCACTTTAGTATATAAAGCCAGCCAGGTGACCATGGGTTAGTTACTCAACCCGAGAAAGTAGACTCTGGCAAACCGCTTCTGAGGTGTGTGTGTGTGTGTGACGACATTGCCAAGAAAAACTGCAGCGTTTTGTCCCGATAGCCTCGAGAATGGGACACAATTGAATTGGTGGAAAGGAAAAGCCAGGACGATCCTCCTTCCCTATCCAACAACGAAAAGATTAAAGAGAAAATAATCTGTTTTATTTTCACTCCTAACGACACCGCCCCAGCCAGGCCCTCTTTTAATTTTGCAATAATAATAATAATAATAATAATAATAATAATAATAATAATAATAATAATAATAATAATAATAATAATAATAATAATTAGTAATTGATTAGTAATTATCAGAAAGGGAGCTCCTTTTGATGGTTTTTTTCTTCCTTTTTATGCGCCGCAAATACTCATTGCTTAGTTGTCGCTTTTTTTCACGCCTTTCCCTAATGCATTTTTTGCAGTTATTCTCGCAGGGGTTAAATATTTAGGAGATAACCTCGGGCGTTGCCGTGCATCTTTATCACGGAATAAGCCTCGTTGACCTCGTTGATGGTTTCTATTAAAACTTGCCCGCAATTCTTATTCTCCCCTGCAACTCTTCTGCAATGCACGCAGTTGCGAGTTTATTCAGAGCAAACAAATTCCCTTTTGTTTAGCACGGCCGAGTCACTATCAGGATCTGTCCCGCGGCTGTTCTGGCACGGAAGATTCACGTGCAGACGAGCTTCGGCGACACGCCTCCTTCCTTAGTTCCTCGAAGGGGCGGGGCAAACAAAAGGGGCCGGATTTTCCGCGCCTGCGTATCTCACAGGTGGCGACAGGACTTCTCCACCAATAGGAGAGGACGAGGGCGGGGCCAAGGCGAGGCGAAGGACGGGAATGATGGCGTCTGCGGGAATGGGACTACGGCGGCTCCTGGTGGCCGGTTCGAAAGCGAGCAGGAGGCGAGTGTGAGTGTCGCGATGGAGGGGATTGCGCGTGCGCTTTCCGAGAACGGCACGGGAGGCGGCGGGCTTTCCCCCCCGTTGTCCTCTTTTCCGTTGCCACTTCTTAAAGCCGTCTCCAAGGCAGCTGATTCCTGATGTTGCGGAGCTGCTCGGGATAGTTTTGCTACCCCTTTAAACTGTGGGAGTGCACAACACCTTTAAACTGGGTGGACTTCGACTCCCAGAATTCCCCAGAGCCAGCATGAGAGTTAAAGTCCACCCAACTTAAAGGGGCTGGGACTGAGAAAGCCTCAAATGTAATTACGGTGCATATGTTCCAGTGAGTCGATCTTGACTGATTTTGCAATAGCTGAGCAGCATCCAGCCTGGTTTGCCCTTGGAGGGGAAACCCATCTGGAAGCCCCTGGTTTTACAATTAGATTGGGAAGTCACACTGGAAGAAGATGGTGGCGGATGACTTGCATACTGCTGCCCAGAAAACAAGATGGACAACAGTCCTTTCATGCTGCATATCCTTGGATCACCAGAAACTGAGTTCAACTAGTGGGGACACTTTATCTTATCGTCATTGTGTGGAGATTATTTAAAGACGGTCACCTGGTCCCTCTAGTTTTCTTCGGTTTTTATTATTATTATTATTGTGCCTTGGAGTCAGAGTTGACTTCTGACAACTTCGTAAACAATTCCCTACAATTTTCTTGGCAAGGTTTTCTGGAAGTGGCTTGCCATTGCTTCCTTCCTAGGGCTGAGAGAGGTTGACTGGTCCAAGGCCACACATCTGGCTTAGTGCCTAAAGTGGGACTGGAACTCATGATCTCCCAGACTCAAGCCTGGTACTTTAACCACTCTGGCTCTGCAATTCTTAGGATTCTAGATCCCATAATCTTCAAACAGCATAGTCTAAGCTTGAAGAAGGTGGGATGAAAAATGACAAGAGCTGTCCATGCTTACTTAGAAGTGAGGCCATGAATTCAAAACACCACACTGTGATACAGATCAGAGGAATAATAATAGTAATAAACGTACATACCGCCTGATTCCCAATGACTCTGGGCAGTTTACAATTGCTAAAAACATTTAAAAGCAAAGAGCAGCTGGGCATAAAAGGCAGGGAATTGGATTTCTAGGGAATAGAGAAGCAGAGAGGAATGCATTGTTAGGGCAGATCTTGACAAAATCAGTGGCTTGCTCAGTGAGATAGGACTTTTGACAAGCTAAGTAGTGGCATTTACACCCCTCTGTCCTTCCTGGTGTGTTAATGTGAGAAAGAATTATTTTTTCTTCCATGAATGTCCTTTGTTTAAATTAAGGCAGTCCTATATCATGGGTATTTAGCATGAGCATGCTGGTTGGGGAGTTCTAGAAGTTGAAGCCCATACAGCTTGCTGAAGCTGAGAAACACCATAGTGGAGAGTCCAGCTGTCTTGGAATCTGCTGGTTGCTGAACTATTTTACACAGATTTTGCTGATGTGACACCTGACTTCAGCCTTTTTTCAGTGGAGGCATTCTGTCTAATGTCCGTCAGGCTGGTCTTTGCAGTTGGAAATAAGCATTTTTGACAGACTTCATTTTGCTCTTTTATAATTTGTGTTATAGGCAAAGATAAATGGTGGGGACAAAAAATATTTCAACTTTAGCCAAATTTCTCCTTATCTTAATTAATGGACTGGCCCTGAAAAAACTTTTTACATTGATTACCACTTATCTATGAGTTGCTTTTTCTGAACACTAGATGGAGCTAATGTAATGAATGAAAAAATATGACCAGTTAATCAGACTGAGAAAAAAATTCTTGTCTTACAATATTTTAGCAAACACAATTTTTAACAAATCTAAAATATAAATGACCAATAATATTGTATCTTTCAAAATGTTGCCAATTGCTTTTTAATATGTAAATTGAGTAACTCTTGCTTTTTTGTTTTAATTGGAAAATTAATTGAAAAAAATATTTCTAATTGGAAAAATGGAATCTTAATACACCAAAAATTATTTGAGTAAAATGTTGTTTCTATAAGATTTGAGGTTTTTGAAGTTTTCATCTAAGTTGCTTTTATCCATGCCTGTGTCAAATGTTTTTGAATGTTTTGCTTTTGTATTATTCGTATTGCTTTGCTTAAACTTTTAATTAAAATGCTTGTATTTGCTGAAAATGATAACGATACTTAGTTGCTAATTGGATTTTGGCATCACCCAAATGTTAGCACAAACCAAATTCGGTCTTAAGAAAATTGGTTTTACAGAATGAAGTCAATTGTCAGTTTCTTAAGTATCTTGCTTGTTAATGAATTGGGACTGGCTTGGACATAAAACCAGAAATTAGAATCAGTTTCTGCCATCTTCTAGCCATTTGAGTGCTAGAAGATATATGGTTGATTGTTATGCTGTGATATCATATTGGAAAGTGGTGGGAATGGGAAGACAATATAATTATAAAATTATACTGTAAAAGTTATGGGGTAGATGCTCCAGTTCCTGGCTTACCTGAACGAGGATGAGCCTGTTCTTTTGTGGCTTGCAGTGTTGGGTGTGCTTATTTAAATGCTACAAAAAACCATTCTTAGCCCGCTCATAAAGTTCTGAGGATTTTTATGGTGGGTAATTTGATGGTTGAGGGTTGATGGAAAGCTAGTTGCGTTTTAACACTAAAAAAATCTTTTCTTAGATTGTGAAAGGCTTTCCTTAAGATTGAAGATAGTGAAGTTCTTTTGTTGCAAATTGAGAATTTATTTATGTATTTATTATTTTTATAAACAGCTCAAGGCGGTGAACATATCTAATATTCCTTCCCCCTCCTATTTTCCCCACAACAACAACAACCCTGTGAGGTCAGCTGAACTGTGTTGGCTTTCATGCCTAAGGTGGGACTACTAGACCATGTAAATTTAACAAATAAATAAATAACCTTCTTGGTGCCCTAATAGCAATAGCAGTTAGACTTATATACCGCTTTACAGTGCTTTACAGCCCTCTCTAAGCAGCTTTACGGAATCAGCCTCTTGCCCCCAACAATTTGGCTCCTCATTTTACCCACCTCGAAAGGATGGAAGGCTGAGTCAACCTTAAGCCTGGTGAGATTTGAACTGCCAAATTGCAGGAGCCGGCAAGCAGCAGAAGTAGCCTGCAGTACTGCACTCTTAACCACTGCACCACCATGGCTCAACCACTAGACCAGCTACAGGTAATTTTTGGTTAAGGAATGCCCTCTTTAACAACCATTCAACATTATGACCATCCTGTAAAAATAGTTTTAGTGGTCCTCACATTTAAAACCTTCACAATGTCTTGTGATTGTCATTTGCAAGATTCACAGCTGGCTTCTGAAAACAAAAATCAATGGAAAAGCTGACAGTTGCAATCCCATGATGTCTCACTTATGACGAGTGGAACTGATGTAAGTCCAGCACAGTTACATGTTTTGCTTAATGACTGTTGTTTAGTGACAGATTTGCCCATCCCAATTGTGGTCATTTAGTAAGGACTACCTGTATTCTGATAAGCAGATAGTCTGCTTTTTAAGTGATTCTCATTAAGTCTGATTCTGGAATATAGTCTTTGAATAATTTCTATAATGGTTGGTGGGGGAGGGTAGATAGAAACAAGTGATGAAGCGTGGTTACGACATCATGGAGCGAAACCTGTGATTTGTGTCGGATGCTGGGATGTAAGTACATAAGCAGACACGACATCTGTATCCCCAGGCCACTGTTTTGATGTAATCAAAGTTTGCAGCAGATGGTTTGACTGGGGTGGGTGGAACGTAAGTCTGACCATTCCGCTTTCTCCCTCTGCCCCACTTACTAACTTTCTTCAACCTGGTGCTCTTCAGTTGAGAGTACATTACAGTGCTCATCATTTTTAGGACACTGTCTCCTTCCGCCTAAGAAGTAGGAGAATGGAGTTAAGGGAAGCGTTTCTTGAACAAAAATAGGATACCACATAGTTATATCTATGAGATTTATTTTCATAATCCTGGAAGGCCTTTTTGAGGTCTTTATTTCTGCTTCCTTTTTTTATATGAATTGATTGTTATAGAAATAAGTGTCTTGCTTCTTGGTAAAATGACTGTTCACTTTTGTATAAGTATATTGTATAAGTCTCTTATACAATAAAAAAAAAAAAACAAGAGAAGAAACTCAGAAGCCTACGACAGGCCAAGCCTGCTTTATAAAATATAGGATCCCGATTGTAGTTAAACATTTTAAGAGAGACATTTTATCCTGAGCTTTCAGGTGAGCTAATTTCCCCTGGTACTGTAAATTTAGTTTTTTTACATCTGCACCTAATTTGTAAAACAGACTTAATGAGAAACTTCAAATAGTTTAAACATCAGTTACAATGATGGCAAGGTTTTAGAGGTCCAGTAATCTGTCCATGTTGGTCATTGAAATGCGATCCCAGCTGGATATAATTAAGGACAGATGTCATTCCAAGACTTGAAAATGAGGGCTTTACAGTTGATGCTAGGAAGCTACTAGGCTGATTGTTATTACTCTTCATTTGCTGTGCAAGAGTACAGTTATTAATTTCACGTAAAGTTTTCAAACAATGATACATCTGCATCTCCTCAAAATGGCTTATAAAAGGTTTAGTATTGTTATTAATTGCTATTATTCACAGTGAATGTAAAAAGATGATTTTATGGATTGTTGGAATGTCGAATAAAGTTACTAGAACGGAAAAAAGGGAATGGGCAGCATATCATGCAAATACAGGTAATCCTAAACTGATAACCACAATTGAGCCCAAAATTTCTGTTGCTAAGCAAGACAGTTGTTAAGTAAGTTTACCTCATTTTACAACCTTTCTTGCCACAGTTGTTAAGCAAATCATTGCATTTAACCCGGTTTGTTAAGTGGATCTGGCTTCCTCCTTGACTTTGCTTGTCAGAAGGTTGCAAACGATGACCACACGACCCCAGAACACTGCTACTGATTTGAATTTTGATCATGTGACCATGGGGATGCTGCATTGGTTGTAACTGTGAAAAACCGTCATAAGT